AATTTTAATTCTTGATAAACATTCCAATTTGCAGTTGGAGAATAACAACCGGTTTTTATTGGCGCATAAAACGCCCAATAGAATTGTTTCTTTCGGCATAATTTAGTCAATAGTTGAGAGAGGTTTTCCGAAGAAAATGTGGCCTAAAATTCTGGCAATTTTTGCGGTCGTTGGCGGTTTTCGGAGTGTCTTTGCCAGGGATCTACGTAAGTATTATTCAACGTCACTTTATTTGAAAAAGTATACAAAGTTTATTGGAATTTTTCTCCATATTCTAAAAGAGTCGGAATTTTCGTGCAAGGGAATGCAAATTTGCAGTTTTATTTAAAAATTATTTACCTATAAAAAACCAGAAAATTTGCCTCTGCTTGGCAAATCACCATCACAAAAATATTTTTTTGCTCTAGACTCGTTGCGGGTGTATGGACTTAATAGAACTTTAGCAATTCTGAAAATTTGTAGAACCGAGAGCTGAAGAACGTATTGAAACTGATGATTTTTTCGCGTTTGGGTTTAGGTTACCGAAAAACTTGCCAGTTTCATTTTCAGGAATTGATAATCGTCGTGGTGAACAAAATATTCCTGACGTTTCGCCAGCAGGAGTGGCTTGCATCTTCAGTGGTGGCTTGCTGCAAAGCAAACCATCTTTCAAAACCGATTTCGTGTATGACCGCAAAAGCCAAACTCTGTGGAAGAATGTAATGGTATTAATTGGGGCCCTATTTTATAAAAGAATGTACAATAAATCTCCACTCACCTTGATTATTATTTATTTATAAACTTTAACCTTGTTATTCAACCGTCAGTAGAGCCAAGTCGTGTAATTTAAAAGAAAGCGATCGTTTCACTTACGTAATATCATTTACCATTAATTAAGACTTAGGACTCGGCATTTTAATTGCCATTTTTCCTAAAACTCAACTGGAAATTTTGTAAAGGAAAACTTATATTTAGCCGTTATTTCATTTTGCATTGTAACAAAATATCCTTTATAAAATGCCCTTAGGGTTTTGAAATTTATATTTAAGTGAGCAAAATTACTTCGAGTTTTCTGCTATCGAAAAACCAAAATTCGCTCATATTTCGTGGGCATTTTTAAGGATATACCAACGAAATCAAAATAAGCAAAACAAACTACAAAAGTGGACGCAAGCGATGCGCGATTAAGTGGCTTCTTCAAGATAAATTATGATATTGTTATAAACGAAACTAATAATCTTTCTAAATATGTAATTTACTATTCGAAATAATTCAATGTAGTTTCAATCTATCGCTGAAATTCTTGGAATATAAGTTTCTTGGAAAAATTACACAAACATTTAAAACAATTTAACATCAGTTACTTTAAAAATTATCTACAAAAATAATGTACTTAAACCATCGTTAAATAAATATCTCTATTAGATCAGTTTATGAACGCGCAAAAAGTTTTTGTTTATAATCGTATAAGTTTTTATATTTTTTTGTATTGCTTCGTTGGTTTTCTAGTAATTTGTAATACAAATAATAATTAAAAATTTAATTTGTAAGAGTTTTAGCATTACAATTAATCAAAATATCTCTGAACCAAATAGAAACTCGACTAGACCCTATGAGTTTACTTTGCCTCAAATATCTCCATTTCTCTTGAATCACTCTGTATTCTAAGAAATGTTCTCATTTTGACTTTATTTCACGTGATCGCATAAATAGTTTGTTTCTACATCCCCCCTTTTGTGTTCACAATAAGCGTGTTTTTTTCAGCAAAATTCATCCAAGTATGCAAAAGAAACGATCCAAACTTGGAACAGTGTGTGATTAAAAATGTGGAAATTCTGCGGCCAATGATGAAGCGAGGCATTCCGGAATTGTTTGTTCCTTCAATGAACCCTCTGGAGATTCCTGAAGCTTCTTTAAGTGGCAGCCAATCGTTTCAAGCCAGTTTTAAAAATATACAAGTAGGTTTTTCCGAATTACTTACTTTCGATTATTTGCGCGTCTATCGATGGTTGAATGATTAATGGTTGATCAACTTAATCGTTATTTAACGATGATTGAACTCAAAGTGTAGAAAAACAATTAACTAACAAGAGCATTTGAATAACAGAACAATCACATTCTGCACATTTTTACCGAGCTTTAAAGTCTCAAAACAAAAATATCCTAACCAAAATCATTCTGAACAGGAATATGGAAGAATTATCTAGAATAAGTGGTTACAAAACGGGAAAAATTACCCACTCAATTTTTTGAAAGGATTGCATCATTGCAACTATTACAGGAAGTATTTTCGGTTTGAAAGTGCTAATAAGTGTTAAGAAGCACGTAAAACTTGTTCATGAATATTATCTGGCCATAAAAGATAATTGAATGTTAAATAAACTGCGTGTAAATCTCCCGAGTTCAAGAGCAAAGTTTTTTACTTTCTGCTATTGAATGTTGATGTTTAAAAAAGTGTTTTTCAGCTATATGGTGCCGACCAGTTTAAACTAGAATCTTTCGAGACTGACTTCAAAACATACCACATTAAAGTGAAACTCTCATTTCCATCATTACGAATAAAATCCCTTTACAACATCAAAGGACGAATTCTAATCCTGAATCTGGATGGGCACGGGCCTGCTGATGGCAATTACAGTGAGTAACCGCGATTAAAAAAAATATTGATTAAATTTCTCATTTAATTCTTAGCAAATGTTCGTACAAGCCTTAGCCTCAAAGGTGAACAATTCCAGAAGAACAACAAGGAGTATGTGAAATGGCACAAAGAAGACATCGACATTTCGATCGGGAAGATCAACTTGTATTTTGAGCAAATCTTCGGCAGCAATGAAGAACTGAACGATCAAACGAACCGAGTGATTAACGAGAACATTGATCAACTGATCGAAGAACTGCAGCCAGTTATCCAGAAAATTGTTAGCGAATTTGTTTTTTCGCTTATTAATCGACTGTTTGCCAAGTATTCGATGGATGAACTGTTTCCGCTTTCGTAGATAATGTTAGACAATTTAGACCGATACAAGAATATTTTTCTGAATTTGTTGACTGTTTTTTTTTATCGAAACTCATCAGAACATGTGTTTGGCTAAAATTGAGACTTACATTAATTATAATATAGTAAACAGTATTTTCGAAAATTACAAGCTCACATAAGAAGATCTTTTATGGGCTGAGAAAGAGTGCAGTTGACTGGAAACATTAATTTTGAAACCAAAATTTACATTATGTTACCAAAAATCAAGATTCAGGAAGTTTTTTGAAAAACTTCCTGAATCTTAGCTTGAAAGATGTTGTTGTTCAAATTCGATTGTTCAAAAACCAGAGTGCAGTTGACTGGAAACATCAATTTTGAGACCAACATTTAAAAATCTACCAAAAATCAAGATTCCGGGGGATTTACATGAAACTTTTTGCATGTTCAGCTCAAGGCGTTTCGAATAGTGGGAGAAATTTTCAACTTGCTGCTTGGATTAGTTTGAAAGATGCAATTTGTTAAAGGCGCACCAACACTTACAAAGCTACCGACAATTAAACTTAAGTGCGTTTTTTATGCAACGTCTTTCTTTCGTCAGAGGATCATAAAGTTAATTGCCATGGACCAAAATTTCTGAGTAAAGGTTTCAAGATATAAGTTTATTATAAGTTTAATATAAAGCATTATTTCTGTAAAGCGCAATCCATTGTCTAATACTTTTTGAAAAAATTGTTCCTTAATGAATTTTTTAGACATAAATTCAAATTTTACATGCGCATATTTAAGGTGCGTTAAGATATTTGATGTTCTAGAAGATTCACTTCCCAGAAGCTCCATTTGGTCCTCTATTTAGTGCGGAATAAATGAGCTCTCAAGCTCAATCTGATCCTGAGAAATGAGCCAAAAGGTGGGGAAATGCGTGAAATGTTGGCCTGAATTGGTATTTAAATATCTGATATTGCAATTTTGCTTCTTGTGCGAAAACTGTCGGCATTTCTTCACTTGCGTAAGTGAAGAAATGTGTACGTTTCTCCTCTCTCGAAATCGGGCTTCTAAATCTATCACCAATGATAAAAAGCGGACTCCTAAAACCGCGCAAAACTTGGAGGTTTAAAAAGACTGTTTCTTTTTCTGTGAACCCCAAACAACGCCTTGCTGAGGCACAATTAAACCTTAAAACTAAAATAATCCTTAAATAAAATGATTTGTAATTATATTTATTTTTGTTATCTGATTGGTTTAGTCAATTACTTTTTTACTAGTTTCCATTTTTGTTTACATGACACGTGAAAAATTGGAGAAAAGAAAGCCATTTTCAATAGCCTTTAATAGCCTTGTTCGGACACTGTTACGTAACACCTTTACAACTCAGATCTTACGAAACTCCGTTAATTGCATTGATCGTTTGACTATCGTAATACTGTAGAGATTATGTGATATTTACAAGAATACGCAATTACCTAAAGTGATAACTACGATGGACACTTTCAGATAATTTGGCTCCTCAACCTGGTCTTACGAAGGATATTTGCAGTTGTAACATTAAAACGCTAGTAATAATGGAAAAATTTAAGAACTTCAATAAAAAATGAGACTGAAGCAAAAAAACTATTGCTGTTTAAGACTCAGATGCAACTTAGTACAAAAAATCAAGTTTGGAGCTTCTAAATACAGTTGATAAGGAAAATATCGAGCAAAATTTACTACATACATACTACCTCAAGCTAACTAAACTTGCATTATTTTCCTCTCGAGAAAGCGAGGAATGCAAAAAACTCAATGAGCAGCATACTGGAAGCTTCAGGTCTCAAAAAATCGAAATTTTTGGTTCATTTTGAGCGATTTTTGACCACCTTATATATGCATATTACGGAGCTTCTTAGACCGTAAACAGTCCATTAAACTGGAAAAACAGGGAAATAAAATTTCAAATTTTGGTCGAAATTTTTCCAAGGGTGGAGGTCGATGTTTGCAAAAAATATTAAGTTTCTCAAAATGTCTCGTATTTCACCATTTTCATCTCGAGGAAACGACGAATGCAACAAGCCCATAGAAAACCCAGCTGGAAGCTTCGTATCCGAAAAAACGACATTTTTGGTTCATTTTACGCGATTTTTGAGCGCTCTCGATCTTAAATACTCTTGAAAATATACAAAACAGAAAAGTTAAAAAAACTTGTAAATATAAAATACTTTCAGAAGCTCATTCAATTTGAAAATACTAAAAACGATAATGCATTCTAAAAATAAAGCTATATTCACACAAATACACAAATTGAATGAATAAGAAAAACAAAGAATCGTTTTTCAGCTTTTTGAAATGAGCTTAAAATGGCAGTTTTTACTACTGGTTTTGTATTGTTTTTTGTTAATCTTATTGGAGTGAAGCATGCAATAAAGACGGATTATATAAATCAATAAGAAAATAATTCAAACCTTCGAACCAAGACTAAGAAAAAAATTGCTCAAAACTATGACATTCATTAATTATTTTGTGAATGATAGGGAAATTATGGAATAATTAGTTATTGAGAAAAGACAACAGTAACTTTGTCAAATAATAATAAGGAAGAGTATCAATATTATTTAAAATATGTGTTAACTTAATAATTTTCATGTGCTAAAACGATGACAATTATCTGAACTTCAAATTTATGCTTGGGGCACATTTGTGAAAATAGAAGCAAATAATTGCCCAATTTATCAGTTTGTCGAAATGAGTTTTTACTTTACCTTTCGCGCTGGTAGCTTTGCTCAAACCAACGATTTTTAGTTCGTAAGTGCAGCTTTGGAAAAACAACGAATAAAAACGCGATTAAACCAATCAATACTGAAAGGAAATTTAAAGAAAATCTCGGAATTGGAAAAAATGCAGCATGTGCCTTCTATTAATCTTAATATTCCAAGAACGAATCTGAGCTAAAGGTGCCCCCAGCAGAGTTGTGAAACCGATAATGATAGACGTTCATCTGGCTGAATGTTATTTGATTTAAATAATTATTTTTTAACACAACAACACACACAACTTTCCATTTGTATCATTGGCGTAATGGCAGAAATCGTTTGATGCCTACCAGGTTTATTTCAATTTTCGGTTAGTTGTCGGAGAGTCTTTTTCAGATAGCCAAGTTAGGGAGCAAAACATTCGAATATAACAATTCTACATACTATTAAACTTACTTAGCAATTGAGATTAACGTTCAATTATTCATTTGACTACTTCAATTAGCATCCTTGGATAGGAACAAATTTCGTTTTTCCCACCTTAGTGCACGTCCATTCAATCGCCAATAAAGCAAATCCCGAAGGCGCACAAGTATCGCGTCTTATTCAAATCTCAAGTTACCACCAGTCCAATAAAGTGAGTAATTATTGAAATACGATTTACCATACGAGTTATTCTTGTTTATGCGAAAAGAGTGGCCAGTTGAAGATCAGTTGACTAAGTAGATTTGAAGACACAAAAGTTTCCTTAACACCACAATGGGCTTTCGAGTTGTCGCGCTGATTCTATTTGTGTGCATTAGTTGGAGTAATGGAGAAGAGCATACTCTGCGTAAGTTGAATCACATTTTATATATTTTATTGTTTCTGCGGAAATTTAGTGTCGCAAACATTCGTTTGATCATTTAGAATCATTTACGCACATTTCAATTGCAGTTATTTACATAAGGTAATTGCTTTGTAGCGTCGTACATTAAACCTTGCAATAGAACCGACCCGAATATCCACAAGTGCGTAGAAGAGAACATTGAGATCTTGAAACCCCATCTAAAGGAAGGAATTCCCGATTTGTTCATTCCATCGCTGGATCCACTGTTGATACCGCCAACTTGTGTTAATGAGGAGGATCAAGTCAAAGTTATTTTCACGGTAGGAAGCAAAATGAAATAAGATTTTTAATGAATGAAATGTATAGGTAAAAATTGACTCAACATGACAAATTTCCTGTTCAAAAATTGGTGTTGCAAACAAACCCAGTCGTTGAAACTGGAGAGTTTTTCCTTCCTCTTGATGGTTCGCACGCAAGAATGGCTTGCATCTTTAAATTTAAAAGCCCGAAAAACTTTTCGCTTTTAAGCACTGACCGCCACCTTTTTGCACTGGATAATGGACTTATTTCAGGATATCCACATCTTCCATGCGGATAAGTTCCAATTGGATCAATTTGACCTTGATTTGGATCTTCATAAAGTCAATCTCAGCATTACATTTCCTCATCTACGGATCAAGTCCACTTACAATGTTAATGGAAAATTCTGGATCGTCACCTTTGATGAACAAGGACCTGCTGATGGAAACTACAGTAAGAATACGACTTTACACAAACAGACAGAATAATGAAAAATTAATGTTGAAATTGAAAGAAACGTGTTTTAGAAGCAGTTTTTCGAGCTTGAAAGTTCTCTGAAATGGAATCAAAGCTGCAGTTTTGGTGCATTCATACTTCGAATTTACTGTGTTTTTTCAATACTTTGATTTTCTGCTATTTAGCTCCGTTTTTGTTGAGTCGGGGAACTTAAGAAAACTTCAGCCAGCGAATACATCTTCTAAGGCTGAACTTCAAACACTTACAATACTTTTTGGTATAGTAAATTGCTTCTCGTTTTCCCTTTTTGTATATTTTTATAGTTGTTTTAATCGATTTACTAATCAGTTATTTAATTTTCGGTTTTGAGTGAAACTATCGAGCTTAAACCATTAACATGCAACTAACATATTCATCTAAAGGGAAATTATATGTTTATTTTCAATTCGATTTCGACAGAATCTTGTAAAGTAGAGATTTTTATATGCTCCAACTTTAAAGTTTTTTAATTTTGTACATTCTGTATGCTGAACTGTTTTAAAATTAAACTGTAAAACTGAGGTGTGATTTTGAAGAAGCATAATAACTGTACATAAAAAAATTGGGTCAACGAATTTTGTTGAAAAAACATTTTAAAATTTGTATAAACAACTTTGTATGTTTTTAGCCAATTGCCAAGTCCACCTCGGCCTGAAAGGAACGCCATTCACCAAAAACCACAAAGAGTACCTGAGATGGGAAAAAGAAACAATTTCGCTGGAAGTGGAAGATTCGCATGTGGTTCTTGAAAAGTTATTTGGAAATCACACCGACATCAACGACAAAACCAATAAAGTGATCAATGAGAATATTGAGGTGATAATCAATGATTTACAGCCGGTTATTCAAAGAGTCGTGAGTGACTTTATCTTCGGCGTTGTTAACAAACTGTTCGAAAATTATTCCGTTAAAGAACTCTTTGCAGATTAATTACGCGTTATCAAACTAGTTAAGTTTTTAGTGTTTTAGGATACTTTTTGTATGTGTGATTTATTTCAGGTTTTGTTAATAAAATTTTTGGAAATTCGGTTTTGTTCTACCGGCTAAGTGGCTTCGTTCCTTTGTACCAAAAAGGTCTCGCCCTTGATGAACATGTTAAATGTTCATATAGATAGACTAGAAAAACTGTTTCTAGTTAACTAAAAAATTGTTCCTGAATATTTGTTTAAAAAAATATATACCAGCAATGCAAATTAAAAACCTAAAATACCTTTCGCCTCTTCACTTATCTGGTAACAACAGTTCTTGGTCTCGGTCATGGTCGCTTTATTACGAGGTCAATCGACGGAAAAGAAGCAACACCTTGCGGGCGTCTTCAATTTCTCCATCGTTCCATTACTCGTCAACACTTTTGATAACCAAATACTCTGGTTAGTAAAACAACTAACAGTCGGTTCAGAAAATCAGAGATTTAAGTGGTTTTATTATGTGGTTGGCACCTCCAAGTTACCTTTTTCTGGTTGTAACTGTTCTTGTAGTGTCCTATGTGAAGTCTCAAGACTGTAAGTAACTGTTAATGCTGTTAAATCAATGAGTCACATTTTACTTCTTCATTCTTCAGTAATTATTCATTATGAACATGCATAAAAACGATAAAGTTTTTGTTTTCTGGTGTACATGTGGTGAAAATTCAGCGAAGTGTTTCAATAATTGCAAACGAACTTTCGGGCATCAAATAAAGAAAAATATGATTACTTATATTCCTTCCGGCTTTTCAAGAAGAATATTTTCGACCACATTTTCTTGCACTTTGCACGTGAAACAGATCAGTAAAATACTAAATAGACATAAATAGACATAAAAAAACTAATTTTTTTCCTTGTTTTTAAATTTTCTACTGATTTTATTTGCATCATTATTGTAACACTCTGTACACTGCACTTTCTCAGACCCTCAAGTCTGCTAAAAGAAAGTTGTTAATTCGTCCGCTTACCATTCTAATTATCACGTATTTGTATACATTCATAAAGAGATCCGCGAAAATCTTAATTAAAAATTGTTTTAGAAAGTCAATAATTTGCGCACAAATAAACGAAATAATAAAACTTACATTAGATCAATTTTAAATTTTGAAAATATAAATTCCAAATCAAAATCCTTGGCATATATTTCTAGAAATATATGCCAAGGCTTAAAGTAGCAACAACGCTAGTAGTAAAAATAGAAACTGATGATGGTGGAAAACACCTAAACGTATTTTAATTGATAAATAGACAATAAATAACTGAAGCCCAGGAATTGATTTTGATTTGGAATTGAAACACAGTCAGGAAAGTATGTACAATGAAAAATATAAATTCATCAAAAAATAAAGTCAATAACAAACCCAAAAAACCAATCAAAACCTTGAAAATTATTCAACAAAACTATAAGCAAACCGTAAACTTTAACATAACTGTGCTATTAATAATTCCCATAAAAAAAGTTACTATTTTAATACATTTTCGATAAACCGGTAGCAGAAAGTCATGACCAAAGAACCAATCTGAACCGGTATCGTTTCACCATTATTTTTGGCTCACACTGTTACTGAATGTTTAAGCAGAATTTAAAATATTAAACTTTGATCATCCATGAATCGAAATTTTTCCATTACAGTCTCATTAGAACCAATTTAAATGGGTAAAGGGTAAGTAGGTAATAGTTCGAGAAAAAAACCATTAATATTGCTATAATTGCTCAATTAAATGCCAGACGAAATGGTTAGTAATCGGCCAACAAAAGGTGTTAGAACCTTTATGACATGGTTTTTTTCTCAATTAAAAAAATATTATTTTATCAAACTAACTGGGTCTTTGCGACCATAGAAACCGAAAAGAATCTCCTGCGAAACATGAGGAAGAAATTATTTTCCATGCTGGTCTTAAAGTTGGAAATTCTTACCAGTTTCAAAACAGCTTCGGTTAGAAACTGATGAGTTTTTCGGACTTTTGGGCCGTGGTGAAATTTGCCCAAAAACTGATTCTAGCAGAAAAACTTACCAGATTTAACTGATTTTTTCAGCATTCTACTATTTAAAACAATGTCACATTAACGACCCAAATGTAAATCAATGTCTTAAACAATCCACCAACTACCTGATAGCGAACATGCGTAGAGGCATTCCAGAGCTGGATTTAAACGATCCAGAGCCAGTAATAATCGACGAAATTCAGCTGGCGTTGGGAACCGGTCCAGATGGTTATCGAGCGACCTTTAGAGACATTGAGGCATTTGGAGTTAGCAATTGCACTGTAACTGCTGTGAGGTAACAGGTGAGCCATCCAGAACCCAAACAAACCATGTAAAATTGATACTTTTAGGTCAGATATCGACACAAGCCAATTCCAGTTTACTTTGTACATACCCAGAATAACTGCGCGAGCGAAATATGAGTCAAGTGGTGTCCTCATTTTGGTGAGGGCTTCAGGAGGAGGCAACTATTGGGGCGAATATGGTAAACATTCGAATTCAACCGCAGGAAAAGACGCTAAATTTGGTTTTCAGAGGGCGTTAAAGTGAAGGCTTACCTTAAAGCCACCAAAGTACTTGGAGAGGATGGTCTTACCCACCTCCAGTTGCAACAGATCAAAATGGATTTTAATGTTAAGGATATTAGAATGGGAGTGGATGGAATCCATAATGGAAACAGCGTTTTGCGTACGTTTAGCTCAAGTGCTGTTGAATAATGGCTAATTGTGATGATTTTTTTTTCAGAAGCGGCATTGAATCTCTTTATCAACTCGAACGCCCAAGAACTCCTGAAGGAAATGAAGCCTCACCTGAAAAAGAAGCTGCTGGTGCTGATGAGCGATTTTGTTACCCATATATTCCAAAGCGTGCCCTACAGCCAATTCCTGGTTGAAGACTAAGTTTGTGTAAATTTAATATTTATTTATAGTTGCTTATATACCACTTATTTCAATTGGTTTGTTTATGCGCAACAGTTGATGGAAAAATAACGTGTCTAATTACCTGTAACCCTCGTTTATAAGCAAACAACTGATGAAAATTCAAAATACATATGTAATTATATGTTATTCCAGGAATAAGTAAATTGAAAAAAACTGTGAACAAAAAGACACCGAGAATTTAAATGTGAACCAAAAATGATTTAAAAGATATTTTCAATAATAAAACTAGAAATGTTTTCCTTCATAAATCACTCTCAATTACGTGCATTATGAGACAATCGCATGTGTTTAGCAATTGTTGCAAAACACCATACTTAGAGCGATCTGTTAAAAAATATGGGTCTTTTGTCCCATCCGGAAATGCAGTATTTATGGGTCAGTTATTCGGAAAATCGGAAATTAGAAATTAGCACGTACATTCCATATAAAAATGCATAAAAGCTTTGGATGATTTGTGCTTTGAAAATTGCCGATCGAAGATGGAGTTCCTTAAAATCCTTAAAAGTGTTCTTGTGCTGTGTCTTGTGGGATTTCAATCGGGATTTGGAACGGAATTGCGTATGTATGACTTAATGAACTTTTATTACATAAGTCCAGAGTAAATATGCAATTTTTTATTGAATTCTCCTAGTACCATAGAAGATTAATTAGTCAGAAAATTAACTAAGATGAAACGATTAATAAGGTTAATAAAACATACTGAAAATGGTAGCTATAAGATAGAAAACATAGTTCGATTAACTAGTTGCAAGAAAACACTGTTTTTGCTACCACCAGGACTTTCTGATGATCAGCTGAAATGCTATTTGTTACTAAATCGAAATAAACTTATGTATATTTTAGCTTCGTTTCTTCATGTTTGCAAAAGAACCGACCCCAACTTGAAAAATTGCATGATAGCTTCCGTTGAAGATCTTCGGCCGTATCTCATTACAGGTAGGTATATCTTGAAGAACTGTTCTTCATTATTTTACATGGAAAAACAACGCCCTAAATCTACACAATTGTTGTTCAAAGCTTATAAATAGAGGAGGTGTGAGTAAAGCGGATGTCTGGGGCAAAATAATAAGTGTTTTCAACTTTCATAAAATCTGAATGTTTTTGCATCAGTTCATTAATCCAAAAAAATATTTTTCAGCAATAACTTTCTTTGTTCTTCAAAAGGTTTCGTCAGAAAAACCCCCAGTCAGGAAAAAAGCGAGCTGTAAAATTAAATAAAACCTAAAAACAACCTGAAGAACGTGATTGAAATATCCAACATTTGTTTGAAAAAGCTAATAAACTGTTTGTAGTATAAACATAAACATAACATAATACATAAACAACTCAACGTTGTTTCTTGGTTTCTGTTTAATTTCTTCACAAATTTTGCGGATGAGTTAATTATCGCCAATATGTATTAGGTTTTATTACATGTTTCCTTTGTTGTTTTTCTTTTCTTTTGTGTAAATTCTTACGTATAATTCGTTTTGTGTATACAATTTTTGAGTATTTGAAATTTTTTGTGACAATAAAGCATATTTCGAATTTGAATTCAAATTTCGATGTTCGATTAGCGATGTTTACATGTAATGTCTTTAGCTCAGTTCTTAAGTGAGAGGGAATGTAAACATATCAAACTACACTATTTAATTTTCACTTAAAAAAATTTAATTTACTTTTTAAGTTGCTCGCCTTCAAGTCGTGCGTTTCTCATTTTCCTCCTTGTGTCTATATTTTAAATGTACACATTTTGATTACTGGTTCCTTCATTATCTACTTTTTTATATTCTACGACTCATTCTAGTTTGAGTAAAAGCGCCATTTTATTTACTTTATATTTCCCTAATATATCTTTTATTGATGACTATTTTAAATGCTCCACTTTCAATAAGAATCTTAATCGTTGGAAAAATCTTTTTTGTAAACGAATAACTATTTTAATCTAACTAGTTGTAGCTTAAAACGATTATTTTGCTGCCAAACAATTTGGAATAAATTCATAAAATGCATGCATTCATACTCCAATCGTTGCATGAATTTTTGAAGACGTGTAAAATAGTTCATTTTATTTCCACTTTTTATTTTTTTAGCTTTATTTATACAGAGGTTTTCAATCTCGTTTAGATGCTTTTGCCACTATGAATCAATTTGTTTGTTTTTTCTTCCAGTTTTCATAATTGCTCATGCTGAATTTGTGTACGAGTGGCACTCATGTTGTCATTTTGCTTCTCAATTCTTCACTCATTTTTAGGAGAAGCCTTAAAAAAGGTGCTCCAGTGGAAACTTCTAAAATCAGTGGATTGCCAGAATTAGGGACATTTCGCGTCGTCGTCATATTAAGCTAAACATATTTCCATTGCTTCAGCTTAAAAAAACCCGCTAATTTAACAAGAAAAACAAACAAGAAACATAATTAATTATCTCCCTTATTGCGGGAAATATTAATGGAAAACCTGGGAATTTCCAGGGGTTCCTGAATATAACATTCCCAGTTTGGAGCCGCTGATAATGACTGATTTCTTTGCTGATGAAGCAGCAGGAATGAAAATTATTGTTTCCAATGTGAGCGCTTGGGGTTGTACGGATTTCTTCGTTCGTGGACTTGAGTAAGAGCAAAACCTCCCTTTGGCTCCGGATTTCCAAAAAAGTTTTTCAGGGTAAATTTGGATACGCTTCAATTTATCGTGGACGTGGACATTCCAAAGCTACGAATAGAAGCCCACTATCATGTGGATGGGAAACTATTGATGGTCGTGGTTCGTGGGGATGGAAACATGGAAACTAACGTTAGTAAGTGCCATTATTATGCAAGTGGAAACGACATTTTCATGGGATTTAAATTGCCATCGCCACGTTCAAAATTGATTTGCATTATTAACAAATTTGTATTTACAGCGAGGATGCGTGACATAAGCCTATGGTCAGTTATTTAATGGCAATATAATTAAAGTGTTGTTGAGCAACTGGGAATTCGGTAGACCAGAATGCAGATTTATCAATAATTAACACGTTATTATAGAAATTGACATCCTGGCTAAATAAGGCGTTGTTTATAGCTGGAAAATCAACGCAAATAATATGATTTTATTACTTTTCCCAGCTGAGGTTAGTGCCAGAGCGGTTTTCCAAGGAAAATTGAACGAAAGGGGTGGCAAGGAATACATGACCTACAATGATGTTAAATTGAAAGTCCATGTTGGCGGAGGCTCGGTGAAGTTGGAGAATTTATTCAATGGAGACAAGGTTTTGCGTAAGTTGAACAGTAACGTTCATGGAGATCTTCAATGATTTTCACTTGGACTTTGAAACAGTCAATTATTTTGTCACTGTGTAAATGCTAGTAATGAAATAATGTATTTAATAGGCGCTTAACTAAATTATTAAATATTAGTGATTAGGAATGTCCAATCAATTTCCTTGCAAAAAATTGCCGACAGTTTATCAAACCATTTGCTTTAGTTTTTAACGATCTTACATTACATTTTTGCATTTTAGTAAGCATGATCAACGATGTGGTGAACAGGAATCTGGACATCTTCCTTAAGGAACTGATGCCCGTCATAGAAAAAGCCTTATCTTCAGTTTTTATGGAAGCTGGAAACGCCATTGTGAATTCATATCCTTACGACGAACTTTTTCCGCAATAATAATCAAAACTTGTAGTTTTTTTTAGGAAATTTCGATTTTAGACTCACTATCGCTGTGATTTTGAGCAAAATCTTGGCTGCAAAAATGTAGACTCGAATGCACTGATCTCTGATGAAGAGTGATTGTAATAACGACACTGTTTATTTAAATGACCTTTTCAAACTGTTTATGTTCATCTAAGTTAATTGATTAAGCTTTTTGGGAGGAAGGATAGATAATTAAGAAAAACCCATAAAAATATAATGCATATGAACGAGATATTGTGTAAACTTATCAATTAAATTGTGTAATATGACATATGTGATAATTTTCACCATTACCTAAGGCAATAAACAGTAAATTTTATATCATCTATATTTTAATTGCAGTTAACTGGACAACCTCAATGCAAATCTAACTATAAAATACATAATTTTCGTCAAATTGAAATCGACCGATTTTTAAAGCAAATGTTTGCATTGAGAAAAAACATCATTTAAAAGTACCTACGAATTATGAATAAATTTAGCCACTTCATGTGCATATAAATCAAAAAAAATATGGAAATRATTAAGCAAGGCTTGAGACTAAGTTTTTTGGGCTTTTAGATTCGAACTTTTAAATTCGGCACAACGGCCTCAAGCCTAAAAATTAACCAGTTTCAAACAAAGAAAGGCTTATTATGGAGTATTTCAMATAAAATACAAGGAGTGTGAAAGTCGCYCAAAAGATCGAAASATTTAGGGGGTGATTCTACATGAAAAATTAGTGTCTGAAGTTCATCTAGGAATTTTTCGAAATCTCAGACGTAAGCAGGCAGGAATTTATATTTTTGAATGATTTTTGATAAATATTTTATTTGCTTGCGCATAATTTCGTACACTTCCTGCCAGTGTTGCTCAACATGAATAGTCAAAATTTAACATTCACCCTTTAAGCTCTGTCTATGCTTGTATATTTTTTCAAAGAAAATGAGAAGCTTTATTAGATAAGTTTTTTGGTGTTGATCTCGCCTTAACAAAGGAAGATTTTCCCTTTCAAGATCAAACAGATTAATAGCAAAAAACGTTTTATAAAGAACCAATGCATGAAAAAACCCGCCATATTTTCAGCACATCTTGAATACTTCAAAATCAAGATTTACGCATGTTTAGTGAAACGTATGCAACATTTATCAATAAAAAAATTAATGAATCATTAGCATTTATTAGAACGAGGAGTAAATAAATTAACATAAATACCCACAAGTAGTTTAGCTTGGTTCAAATGTGTTTTTCTCCACAAAATTATGTCTTTCCACAGCTGGAAATACGGAATCGACACCTCAATCATCTACTGGCTGATTACCATTTACTGATGTGCTATTTTTTCTACACTTTTAATATTAATTACCCGCAAAAACATCGATTCCATTATTGAAATGAACTGCACTAGCCCGAGCAGTCAATGAATTAATTTGTCATTTTGCTACAACAAAATTATATTTTAGATGACGTCAAAAAGCAACTTGTTTTATATAAGTAAATAGCTAGGAATATTAGCGTTTTACATTAAAAGTCCGTTGAGTAGAACAGCAATTAAGATGGGCAAGTTAGGCCAGGTTGCATTGGTGGGTTTCGTTTGCCTAACTAGTTTAGGATGTGTATTAGCTGTTATACGTAAGTATTTTGTTTCTGTTTCTTCTACATTTTTCTCTACAATTGTTCGTTCGGTTTATTAAAAAATATATACTTTGCGATTATTACTGCGATTTCGTAATTTACATTCTAAAACAAGCTGGGAAAGTTGAAAACTAAGGCAAATTTTGCCCGTTTTTGTGTAGTTCTAATTGTATTCATCGACTATATTTTTGTATATAGTTATTTCGTTAATAGAATTATTCATGATTTATTTAAAAAATATTGGAGACAAAGTCAAAGTTACATTTTGTTTAATTATTGCAATAATTTGTCAACAGTGGTTGTGCAAGCCGTTGATTAACTACTGAATAACATGAAATTATTTCTCGATTGACCTAGAAGGTCCGTGCAAGTCATTTGGCATGAAAATGACGATTAATACTACAGAAGCATCCTTTTACCTTGGCAAATAACTGTTAGTCACAAACAAAATGCAAATTTTGATGCGAAAAGAACGAAAATGGTCCATGAGACCTCAAGCAGCAAAAACTGCATACAATTGCGTTTTAAAAAATATTTTAGTCGAAATATTTGAATTCTGATCAGCATTTATTGAAGCTATGGAGTAAAAAACTCCTGGGTTCTGCAAAATTTATTTTCAGATGCTCATTTCAATGAAGAAGTTTTTCGCAAAGAAAACCAAACTTCGGCTACAGAAGCGAGCAAATGGTCGACAATGGAATATAAAATCATTGCAAATTTAACGCAAGAAAGAACTGAAGAAAACTGTTCTGTTCTTTTGAAACTGAATTTGCTTTAGCTGCGCCCTTTAGAGGACACGCTGTGTAGTTTCAAATAGTTTTAGAATATCCAGATTGGCAAGCAAAACCATTTTTGTTTCTTGTTTATTTCTAACCGTCTAGACGCAATGAAGCTTTTCTGATTTTCTGTTTCTTCCAATAGGCCCCCCCGAATAATTCTCCCAAAACCCCAATTCTCCAAAATTATCGATTATTTTGCTTCCGCAGCTGACTACATTCATGTATGCCACAGAAGTGATCCCAAAGTAGCGGTTTGCATCCAAAACTCTGTAGAAGCCTTACGACCTCTTCTGGTTAAGGGACTTCCAGAGCTCAACGTAAAAGGAATTGATCCATTCGAACTAGGAAGAATCACGATATTCGATGGAGTCCAAAATCCTGATGTGAAACTGTACTTTGACAATGTGGTTGTTACGGGTTTGGGGAATTTCAAAATTACCAAGCTGAAGTGAGTTGAGACGAGTCAATTAAATTTTACACGTGTTGATAATTAGGAAACACTCTGGGACACAATTAATTGACGGTAAATTGCGGTGTTTTAGGCTGGACGTTGAAAAAATGATCTACCGAGTAGGAGTAAAAGTTCCGTTTTTGAACCTAACGGGGACTTTCGATGCTGATATGAAATTTGGGCAACTGGAAATTAAGACAAATGGCGATTTGCACACTGATCTAGGTGAGTAGGCTTGGGAAACAGCAAGAAAAAAAAGTCGAATAAAACCAACTTTGGGCCAAAAATGGGAAAATTGTTCCGTTTGAAAGTGAGTCAACCGATTTTCAGTTGATGTTGATGCCCAAGCAGTGATTCATGCATACTTGAAAGACAACAGCAGAATGATCTTTGACTCGTTGACCTTAAGGCTGAAAGCCTCAGATTTTCATTTAAATGTTGACAATTTCCCCAAGAAAGACGCCGTTCTGGGTGAGTATGTTGAGCAAAATGAATTAGAAAGTCTCGAAAAAGCTGTTGATTTTTTTAGGGCAAACTATACATCAACTTATCACTGAAACCAGTAAGCAGGATGTACGGGACCTTGCTACACCTCATATCGAGCGAAAATGTGCGGAGATCTTGCTGGACTTGAGTAACCAAATCACCGAGACTTTTGACTATAACGAGCTATTCCCACTTTGAGCTTTTTATCCGTTGTATCTAATAGCTGTTAAATAGAGAACTTGCGGCATTAATAAATCATATAATTGCATTTCCTTAATTAGTCCTCAAAGCCGCTGAGATTGTCAAGAAAAGTCCTATAATTTTGGTTTAATAGCCATTGAGCGGAAAATTGTTCAAGTGAAACAGGATTTGGCATGTTTACAGTTGGGCAAACAGTGAAAACGATCTGAAAGGTTCCCAGAATCATCGGAAAACATTCAAAATCAATAATGGCAATGAATAAACGTGGGAATTACCCTGATGTTAGATCTTTTAATCGCCAATGAGCGCGACCAACCATTATGTGATATTAAACAGGAAATTGATAAATCAAGTGAAATATAATCGAAATAATACAAAAATTTGCAGAAAAAGTATGCGATTTCAATTTTTCAACTTGAATTTTCTAGATCATTGTTGAAAATCTGCGTTAGTCTCTGGTTAATTTGCAGAGTTGGCGCTAATTCGAATACTGTTTTTGGTTCCTTTTTAAAGTTTTATAATGTTTGCAACTGTTGAAGATGTTTAAAGAAGACTGCAATAGCACAACCATGTTGCTCCGTATGTGAACAGTGGAAACTAACAATTTTTTTCTCGGAAAATCTATCAGACACACCAAAAAAAATTTGTCTATTTGGGCGTTAATTAGAAATGTATCCAATTAATTTAGTACTACTTCTGTCGTTTGTTCACGAATTGCACAACTCAATAAATCTTACGCCAAAAGACCAAATTTGATCAGGACCAGAGGAGAACTTCGTTCCATTGCTGCAACTTTAATTATCCTCAATTCAAACGATAAAAAATGGGAATCCGGAGAATCGAAAGCTTTTATTAAAAAGTTATAGTTTTTCACTAAATCTGACTGACAATAAACAATTATTTTCCTGTTATTGAACAATCGGTTTCGGCGCGTTTTCAATAATAAAAACTATGTACAAAATCCCAATCACATAAGGAAATTCACCAAATCCATGCACTTCCGTTTCAATTATCACTTTATCTATTTTCATCTACCGGCTACGGCCACGTCACTTAACTCTTTGTTTCCTATAAAATCCCGGATTAACAAGTCGACGATTTTAATTACAACTTTGGCACTGTAAGAGAACAATCAACAATCATGGTTAATAAAAGTTTTCTCGCAGTTTTGTTTGTGGTTTTGATGGCCAGTTTCCACGGCGGTCTTGGCTCGAAACTTCGTAAGTAGATTGGAAAATTGAACTGAATACATCGTTTTATGAATAAAAAAGTGCACGTTTGTAGGAAGTTTATAGCCAAATTAAATAAGAGTGTTGGTGATTTTTTCTTTTGCTAGCTGATGGAATCAAACTGTGCCATAGAAGCGATCCTGAGGTGGAAACTTGCGTGAAAAACTCAGTAGAAGCATTAAAACCGATGCTGAAAGAAGGTCTACCCGAGCTGAATGTACCTGGAATAGATCCCTTCAAAATGGAACAGATCGAAATCATGGATGGAACGCTATTGCCCGAATTGAAAGCCTCTTTAGTCAACTTGGAAGTGATTGGATTAGGAGACTTTGAGATCACAAATCTCAAGTAAGTAGCTAAGAAGCCAAAAGTTGTACATAAAACACATTTTTTCTAGAATGGACTTGGAGAACCATGTGTATGATGTTGGTGTTAAAGTGCCCTTCTTGGACATTCATGGAGGGTACAATGTTGATGGAAAATTGTTATCGACCACTATTCAATCAACTGGAACTTTCAATGCAAATGCCAGTAAGTTCAACTATTGCTCAAAATTTTTATCGAATCGCTTTATATTCTTAGGAGAATTGGAATTTTAGTGGATTTTTAAAACGTTCAACACAAAAAATTTGTTTGGATTCGAAAATCTTGAAGAAACCGAAATGTAACCGAACACGCTTTTGACAAATAAATCGAAAGTTTAGCGCTGTCGAGATATATTTTCTGGCATAAGTTTACTAGTATTTAAAGCTCTATACATTTATTTCAAATTTGAGTTAATCTCAGTTTCATTTTATGAGATTTCGACACTAATTCTATTTATTTGAATACGAACCTGGGGGATTTTTCCTTGTTCTTTTAAACCCATATTTTTTCCTGATTTCAATGATGCAAAATGTGTTAGCATTTGTGGACGTTTTGACCGAAAAATTCATCGTCAAGGTTTATCCAAACCTGGACTTGAGTTGCAAATCGCATGTTTCGGTTCCTTAAACTTCCAAGTTTGCTTTTCGAAAATAACCATCAATTTCATGTTGTTCTACATTAGATTTTGCCATTAAAAATCAGGTTTAGAATTTGAATAAGAAAACATGACAAGAACCGAAGCTGAATAATCGCTTGGAAGAAAAGTGTTATTAAAAATGATAAGACCACCTGCAAAAGCAAAAATTCAGAACTCTGACCTAAATGTGCGAAATAATTGAGCTGGAAGAAGCATTTTTGTAGACAAAAGTTAAAAAAATGAACGAAGAACCGTTTTGTTGGCAAAATACTTGCCGAATTTTCCACTACTAAAAAATGGATACCGAAATTTCCTCAATATCTTAACGAGATAAAAGAAGAAAGCATCATTGAGCACAAATCGTTAAAAGCTTGATTTAATGTACAAGGAATTTTTTTTCAGCTGGTTTAGATGGACAAGCATTGATGAAAGGAGCCCTAAAAGACAACCATTTGAAGTTTGAGTCCATCGACTTTAAGCTGAAGATGGAAGACTTTAACCTGGATCTTGGCAACTTCCTCACTGAAGACCCTGTTCTGAGTAAGTAAATTGCACAAAAATACCATTCACCGAGACATTCTGAAAACACAGCACATAATAAAGAAAAACAATTAATGGCTTGTGCAAAAACTTCAGCATTTTTGCTTCCTCTTAACATCCTTTTTCCAAGCACACAGACTTTCATTTCAATTGAAGAAGTCCATTGGGACTTTAACTTTTAATCAACAATATAAGCCTTATAGAACTGCATTCTTTAACTGCAAAAAATTTCAATTTAATCCAGGCCATGCTGCTAAACAACTGCTCAAAACAGCCAATAAGGAAGACATAATTAAGATGGCCACACCCTACATTGAGAAGAAATGTTCAGACATTCTCCTGAAACTGTGCAACGAAATCTTCGAGAACGTCGACTACGACGAAATATTTCCAGTTTAAAGCTTCCATATTGATTAAAACACTATTTATTTTCTTCCCATCCTAGTTAGGCACCAAATGTATGTAGGTAATGTTCAAGTATAAAAGTGTTCGCTGTTTGACAAATAATAAATTGTATAACCAGAAAAGTTATGATTATGTTAGGTGATTATGTTTTAATCGGGCTAATCAGGCCACATCTTTAGGAAATTTTTCCTCATTATTCCTCAGACGATTCTCAGTTCGGAAGCTTTTGCATGCTGTTCCTTTATGAAGACCGGACAGGAACAAAACCAAGACACTGAATTTTTACCTTTAATATGAAATTTTGTTGTAAACTCTGACTAAAATACATTGTTATTTATATCCTTTCGAGGCACGATTTCCACGCCTTTCTAAGCATGCTTTGAATACAAAACCCGTCGTATTACCAACATGTCTCAACAACAATCCTAAATTAATTATATTATTATGTATATGATCGCCAGGATGGTGGCATATTGTCAATACCATCTTTCAAGGTCCGGTTTGCTCGTGCATTCTGCATGAAATGTTGATAATTTTGCGTGTACAGCAAATTAAACTAAGAAAAAATTGGTGTTAATGTATTGCGTGGTTGTCGGTCAGTTTTAATGTGTGAAAAATAGCGTTAAGAAGGTTTCGCTTAGCTAATTTTAGGTAATAGTTTGTATAATTTGGTGGTGGCCATCAGAAAGGAAGATGGTTCTTTTGCTGCTTCAACTCGCCGTTCTATTGTGCGCTGTTAGAGGTGAAATACGTAAGTGATTTTGTGAAGAAATTTCGCGAAAGTCTTCGACTGTTCAATTTCAGCAAACTATATAAAAGTGTGCCAAAAAACCGATCCAAACTTATCGCAATGCATCATCGACTCCATCGAATATTTACGCCCAAAGCTCAAAGAGGGAATACCGGAACTAAACGTGCCCTCAATTGAGCCTTTGCCTCTGAACGAAATTCGACTGAAAAGTGGCCCCAATCAGGCCCAGATCAACGCTAATATAACTAACTTGCTGGTACATGGCCCATCCTCTTTCAAGATCATCGACTTAAAGTAAGTACAATTCAACCCAATTCAGCTTTAACACATTTCAATGCTTCTTCAGGCCTGATCTTGAAAGAACCAGATTTCTGGTCCAGTTCACTATTCCGACTCTTTATTTCGAAGGCGACTATGACATCGATATGAACGTTTTGATTTTGAAATACAAAGGAAAAGGCCCAATCCAAGGCAATTTCAGTGAGTCATTAGCACTCAAAACCAGTTGGAGAAATTATTATTTTGATTTCAGCAAACTATGTGTTCAATTGCCTGTTTAAAGGCGACAAAGTCCAGAGAAACAACCAAACCTACCTTCATTTCAGGAAGTTCACCATAACACTATTCACGGGCAAAAGCCATCTGCATCTTGGCAATTTGTTTGGGGAAAATGGGGCGATTTTGAGTGAAGCCACCAACACGTTAATCCAAGAAAACAGCGAGTTGTTTATTGATGAAATACGGCCTGTTTTAGAAGAGTCATTGGCCCAGAAGTTTACCACGATAGCAAATAGTATTACAAGCCGGTTTTCCTTTGATGAACTGTTTCCAGATTCAAAGAGCATTTAGTTTTTTTATATAAAAAACTTGTATACAAAATTATTATCAGATCGCAGAAAACAATAAAGTTTTCGCGATAAAATTCGTTTTCAACTAGTCACATTACCCAAAAGGAAAGTGGAAAGACGATTTTTGCAATTGCAAATTAGTAAAGTTGTTACTATGTAAATTTAATCACAATTATTGTCCTGCGACTGGGAAATGGCTGAAGGTGTCTTATGCAAATTCAGCTGTAATTTCACTTTAAAAGTACAGAAAATTTGCAACTAATTAACCTAGATTTTAAAGGCTGAAACTGCTTGAATTAAAAAAGTGGTTATTTCTAACAGATCGAAGATTTTTTTGACAATGCCCGAAAGCTCTAAAAGCATTAGGGTTGGTTGCTTGAGGCAGCAGCACCTCTCAAGATGCAAGCCAATCGTGCTTGCGAAACATCAGAAATACATTATTTTTCTAGGCGGGTTTAGGGCCTGAAACACTATCCAGTGCATTGCCAATTCCAATCGTTAAAAACTTATCTGCTAAACATTGCGAGTTTTAACATGATACTGTTGCAGTATTTGCAACTTGCATTACTTTTCCTCCGTGATCATTTGGTCTTTCCATTTCAGCCATCGTCAACCTTTAGCAGATAAATTTGAACATTATGCATATTCAGATGGACAACAAATTTCTGGACAAGAACTGCAATTAATCACTAAATAATTTTGTCAAATTAATCAAAATATCAAAACATGCAAATTAGTGTTAATATTAAAGTGCATTTCTCCTTGAGGTAAGTTTGTGGTTTTGACGCAAAGACAAATCAACGAAAACAATATTTAATGAAATAGAAGGAATAATTTGATCAAACTGGTAATTTTCCTATATATCGGGGGCTTTGCGAAACGACTGAAAGTTCTACTTTGCATTTACAGCTGCGACTGGGTTCTTAGTGGGTACCATTCGATCGGTGCCGTAAAATTGTCGGTGCATTTTGTAAACAATATTACCGGATTGTTTACAGTAAATGCAACTGGATTTTACAGATTGCTGATTGAAAATGTTCTTCAATGTATTGGCAGTGGGTTTCTATGGATTATTTGGCGCTGTTTTAGCTGAAATACGTAAGTTCAAACTTTAAATTTTGTAACATTTAGGGGAAAATTAATTTGTTTTTATTATAAATATTCATCAATAATTGTGCACTAAATTTGTTGGCGATCGTTCGTTTATAATCGTTATTTTTCGCATAAAGTTGCACTGAAATTCAACATCTTTTTGACTGAAAATTCCTCTTATTTGTGTGCATTGCATAACCGAAAAAGTTGCAACATGCAAACCAGTTAAGTCCGTTAATTGGTTGTAACAATTTTCATTTTATCGACTAAAATCAACCACCAATCGGGTCGATTACAAATCCACCTACACAAACTAATCGATAATGAATGCATTTGGAAATTAATTCAATAGTCGATCCGATATGTTGTAAATTTCTTGAAAGTATGTCGCACTGTGTGAAGCGATTTTCAAATTAACTAACACAGATTTGCAAAAAGAAAGCTATAAACTTCGCTTCGCATTCATTACATATTTGCCTCGTCTGTTACATGGCGATAAAGGTGCAAAACAAAAACGGCTTCTCTCCATTATGAGTCCTCATGTGGTCTTAAAATTAGATAATTGGTTAAAAAGATGCGAAGGCTGAAGAACCATACAATGCGGTTTTAATTGAGAATTAATGATCTAAGAGTATTCTCAAGTGTAAAAATCAACTGGAAAACCGCAGAAAATATTAGACATTAATCGAAATAATGAAATTGTTATTTAATGGTTCGTTGATGAAAATTAGTTGACGGTTAACAATAATAATTAAATTTTGAATTAGCAAGTGGATTCCAAAGAGCGTTCTTTTAACTTTCTTTTATTTTTTAAGCGCAGTAACTTATCTAATTTATTTAATACATTTTAATAAAATACGATTTAACTTAATAGTCTAATTTATTTTGCAGCTTCCTATATAAAAGTGTGCAACAAAAACGATCCGGAAATATCCAAATGCATCATAAATTCAGTGGAACAGCTCAGATCCAGACTAAAAACTGGGATTGCCGAATTAAATGTGCCTCCAATTGAGCCCTTATTGTTGGATGAAATCCAGTTGAGAAGTGGACCCAACCAGGCTAAAATCAATGCCAATATTACTAATGCAAAAGTATGGGGACCGTCTGGCTTCGAAATCATCGACCTAAAGTATGCAGAATCATTGCTATTTAAATAAATTGTATTTAAACAGCGAACAACAAAAAAACCTCAACCCGTTTATTAATTTAATATAAATTCTTAGTCATCATACTTAGGCGCGTAAAATAATGAATTCTAACCAGTTTAGGGAGCACAAAAACACATGTTATATGCCAATGCAAAATAACCGTCTAAAAAGTAACAGAGTAAATAAACTTAAATACTTCTTGACATCATTACTGCACTAACAACTAATTTTACTTTTGGTGGCGAACTCTTGCTCGCTTTTAATGACTTTCATAGGAAAATTGGTTAATTTGTCTTTGCCTTTTCCTAATTTTATCAGCTTTTTTCTGAATTGCGAACTGATGATTGATTGCCCAATATCAATTAGCAAACACTTATAAATGCCACAATAAAGTCCTGTGTAATTAAATGTTGAAAGGAAAAAACGGTGTTTCTAGGCGAATCTTTATTTTCACAGTCAGTTGGAAAATATTCGCAGAAATTTTATAAAGATGGTTCCAGAAAGTTTCAATTGAAACACTCCTGAAAGTATTTTGCAAAAATTTCCAAATCTCAACCCCAAAAATCAAGAATCTGAAGAAGTAAAAAAAATCTCTTCAATCCGGTTTGTCCAGCTTTTAGGACGCCGTGAAAACGTTTCTTGACGTTTCGCAAGTACGAGAGGCTTACATCTTCAGAAGTGTAGCCCGAAAAACTCACCAGTTTTTTGCCTCTTTTAGACCCAACGTAAAGAAGAACCGATTCGTGTTCAGAGTGAGTATTCCATCAATTTACTTCGAAGGAGACTACGACATTGATATGAGCGTCTTAATCCTGAAATACAAAGGAAAAGGTCCCATTACCGGCAATTTCAGTAAGTCACTTCGTTAATTAACTTTAAGACAGTTTAACTTTGATATTCCCCAATTAATTTTTTGGAAGTCAGTAAAATTGGTGAATGCTAGCATTTAAATTGCGCTCACTTCAGAAATCAATCGACAATAAATCTGGGTTTAACGGAGGCCCTTGGGCAAAAATAATGGTTTTTTTTGCAGCAAATTACAAATTCGACTGCATCATGAAAGGGGATCTGGTGACACTGAACGGACAGCAGCATCTTCAGTTCAGAAAATTCAATTTGACGCTCTATATTGGACACAGCGCCATCCATTTGGGCAATCTCTTCGCCGGCCAAAATCCGACTCTATCTTCAGCCACCAATGAAGTGGTTAGAGACAATGCCGATCTATTTGTGAACGAAATCAAGCCAGTGCTTGAAAACTCTTTGGCCCAAAAGTTCACCGATATCGCCAACACGATAACTAAGAGGTTCACTTATCAAGAACTGTTTCCTGATAAGTGACTAGTAATAAATTGAAGCAGATATTAAACTTAGGAATATTGTTAGAATTAAAAAACAGTTTTAAAGATTGTGTTGTTCCATTGAATAATTTTTTTATTATTAGTTTGTTTCAATGCAGTTTTTGGGGGCATTTTTGTATTTTTTATTTAGACTAGTTTCTTCAGCAAATCTCTTGAGGTCCAACCACAAAACGAATGGTTTTAGCTGAACATTGATCTTATGAAGTTACTGGTGAGGAATTTTGAATTGATTGAGTTTGAAACTGAGATTTTATGATAGTTTTTGATTGACTTCTTCGAAAAAGCAAGAGAATAAACACTAGAATATAAAGTTTCAGATGAAATAAACGATCTATTTTATGTTTGTCTTTCTATGTTCAACGTCCTTCTAGCGAGTTGCGAGCTCTTTGGCTCTTGTAACAGCAAAATTGGGGATTTTAAAGAAGTTTTCTTGGAAAGCAACAGCAGGTAGACAACTACGGTTCCCGAAGGCTATTAATTCAAACGACAAGGAAATTTATCTGTGCCTAGAAAAGCCTGCATGTAAAGTCGCTAATTGCTATTGTCGAAATGCACAATAACATTTAAGCAACTAAATGATATGGTACCCATGTTGCAAAAGTAGCCAAAGGAAAACGAAAGTGGAGGAGGGCATTTGCAGTATAGTATTATTATAAATATACCGGCTAACATTAAGTGAACAAAACGACTGAAATGAAGACCTTCACAGTGCTGCTTGTTTGTTTTTTCGCAGGAAAATCTCATGGAAAAATCCGTAAGTGAACTGAATTTTTGCTTCAAGTTAAAGCTAAAAATATAACTAATAAATCCAGCTGCTTGTTTTTTTATAATTGCATGTTTTTCAGTGGGATCTTAGAGTTGGGTTTCTGGTGTTAATTGGGGTAAATCTTGAATATTTTCAGAAAACTCAAATGTTTTTACAGTCGGAAAATCTTAATTTTTTAAGGGCAATGTAGTTCGTTTCGACTTTGGATTCTAATTTTGCGTCAAATAAATTCATATAATAAAAATATGGAACGTTTCAACAGTCACAAACAGAAGACAATAGTTAAATAATTTACATATTTTCCGTGTTTATTTGCTTTTAGTTCTTTATTTAGCATGAACATGCATTCGCATTTAAACCCAACAGATGAAATCGTGTTTGATGGCAGGTGTTTGCTAGTTAATAGGAATTTTATGGGCAACTACTAGAAATTAAAAGTGCATCACACAGAAAAATGCTTTGGCTTAATGGATTTATTCATTTAATGCAAATGTTCAAGGTGATCAGTTTGCTTCTGCTTTTGTCTGGATTTCTAGAAGCTCAATTCGAGTGAAACCGATCTTAGAAGTAGCGAACCAACAGTAGCTAAAAAACGCTACTAACAATTTTCATTAGTTTCTTGAAATTCCGTTTAATCGAATATAACTTTGAGCATATAATCCGGAAAGTTCGACTTGAAAAGACTAAAACTTCTACTTTGGTTCACCTTTAAGCATCATCATTACCTACACGGGAGACATTCGCTAATATTGCATAAGTGTGATTGGCCGCAGGATATATTGCACATTATGTAATACAACATGTAACACAACTTTCACAATTCGCGCTGGATTTTTATTTATTCGGATATTAAATCTGGGTCATACTTGACCTATGAATGTTTCTATCCAAATGTAACCTATTATACCGGGTGATTCAAAAATACGCCGACGAATCAATCTGTCTGAGATATTTTAATGAAATTTAGTATGGTTCAATAGGTAGTCAGTGTCTCACGTACCCACATGACATTCAATATTTTTCAACATTCAATAATCAAAAATAATTTTACCTTTGCATTCCGTGTTCAATTCCTAACAAAAAAGGTCTCTTGCGTTTCCTTCGCACAACGCATCATTTTCGATTTATAAAATAAAATTCGCGTTAATGCACCTAGTATTTTTATCAAGCGCCTTTCTAACTTTTTAAATTTTTGCTCGAAAATCATGTGTTGTACAAAAAAAGTAAAGAAAGTTTTTTGTTTGGAATTGAGCAGGCAACGAAAGGGTTAAATTAGTTTTTTGATAAATCAGTGGCGCACCATTTTTCTGTTCAAAAATATTGAATGTCGCTCGCGCAGCCACTGTCGAACCAAATCAATATTTTATTTAATAAAAATATACCAGTCGATAGCTTTGTAAGCCACAAAATTGCAATTTCAGACGCATTAACATTTTTTTTTTTTTAATAAAACGCCCTTGTTTTATTGTTACCAACATCTTCTTAAGAACACTCATTTATTAGAACTTTTCATCTTCTACTGGCTTCTTCAAGCAATCACTTAAAGCAAATTTTAAGCACTTTTAAGCAATAACTTTGGAACTGGATACATTCTGATTGCTTAGAGCTTGGTTTCTGTTTGAAGCGTTATTTAACCCCATTTGATGTTTGTTCGTCCACGTTTTGATAAAAATTAATCGCAACATATTAATGTTCTACAGGGTGTAGACTGAGCAAATGCAAAATCGCCAAAAATTCGGCAATCTCAACGCCAAACGCTTCAAGATAAACGAAATAGCTCAAAACAGTTTATTAATTTTACGGCCATCTGTTCTATTTACAGGGTGGCCTCAAAAAATCAACTTTTTGGTCTTGTAGCGATAACTTTTCTGCTCTTGGATCGATTTTTACGATCGTGAGCTCATGTTGAAGCTAAAACTTGAAGTGAAACGAAAATTCGCTATACAGAGTTGCATAAAAATTACCCAAAATTGTCCAACTACGAGCCTGTGGAACTTTCATCAATTTTCCATTCTTTTATTTGCCACCCTGTAAAAACTTTCTCTGAAGTACAAATTTTTTGGCCAAAAAATCGGAAAAATAATTGCACTAAATACAGCATTGTATATACTTTCCTGACTGTGTTTCAATTCCAAATCAAAATGAATTCCTGGGTTTCAGTCATTTATTGTCTTTATTTATCAATTAAAATACGTTTCGGTGTATTTTTCCACCATCATCAGTTTTTCTAAAATAACATAGTTTAAAAAATTTTTTTATTAATTTAAAAAACAATCACAGTTCGTCAACAGCCTCATCATATCACACATTAAAATACATCACAATTGCAACACTTTAAAATATTCTAAAATTAATTAGGCCTAACAGAAGAAAAATTTTTAGAAATTTATTTTAGAAAAACCTTTATTGGGCCTTATTAATTATGGCCTAATAACCTAAGATTAAAAAGGCCTTTATTTTAGAAAAACTCATGATGGTGGAAAAATACACCGAAACGTATTTTAATTGATAAATAAAGACAATAAATGAGTGAAACCCAGGAATTAATTTTGTTTGGAACTAAATACAGCTTCAAACGAGAAAAGAGTCCCTGCATCAATCAGAATTTATCCAGTTGTAAAGTTTCTCTTTCAGTTCGATGCGCTGTTTATATTGAAAATTTAATTTAAGATGTTAAAAACTAAATTAACTTTATAACCGCTTTTATTGAAAATTCCGACAAGATTTTTTCAAAAACTTTAAATTTAGTCACAATTGCTGCTTTTTTCTATTCCGTGCACCCTTCAATTTATCAGCACTTAAGACATGATCAAAATATGATTTCTTAAAACCCAACTCGATAACATGCAAAAACCTTAAAACCACTTAAATGTTGCATCCTGAACCCCGTTTTATTGCATCAAGCAATTTGGTATTAAGGAAACAATTTAATTATACTATTTGCCAACAGTTCTACCGGTTTTAGTAGAATTAATTATACAATTATGCATCTATTTCAAACCCCGATAAAATATAAAAGCAATAATCGATTGGGAAACAACTCCACTGGGTCAAGGAGCCTGAATTCACCGCACTCGAATGCATTTTATTTGTCTATTAAGTCATGGATAGTTTCACCTGAGCAGGCGATTTATTGGCTTCTAGCTGAGTATCTTCAGGAGTATATTTGTAAAGCCTCCGATCCGAAATACGAAAAATGCGTTTTAACCAGCTTCGAAAAAACCAAACCCTACTTGATGAAAGGAATTCCCGAATTGAGTCTTCCGCCCTTTGATCCATTTGAGTTGCCAATAATGACGGTGAATCGCACCCTAAACGATGCTGTTAGTATTAACGCCATCATCAGAAATATCAAAGTTGAGGGTGGACGCAATACGGTTATCCAAGGGCTAAGGTAAATCAGCTAGTAAAGGAACGAGTTATTTTTTACGAGTGGTTTTAAGGGCTGATCCAAAGAAACACGTTGGGGAAATTAGACTGAGCCTACCATGGACCACTATTGAAATGGAATACGATGTTCAGGGGCATCTGCTAACGATTCCTCTTCAGAGCCGAGGATTCTTCTTTGGGAATTTCAGTAAATGGTTAAAATGATTTAGTTGATTTTTTAGTAACAAAGGATTTTCAGCCAACACTCAATTTTCTATCAAGGGCGGATTGCAAACGTATGAAAAAGATGGCAATGAGTACTTTAGAGTGAAGAGAATCAACTCCAAAATAGTGGTAGGCGATGGCTTTATTCGACTCACCTCCAAAAATCCTGACATGCAGTTCGGAGGTAAAATGTTTGGAAAAAATGTAAATTTATTAATTTATTTCAGTAATTTTTAGCCGATTTAATTGCGAATTTCTTCAATGAAGACCCAAGAAGAGTATTGGACACAGTCAATCCAATCTTCATTGAGACCTCGAATCAACTGTTTACAGTGGTGGCTGATCAGATTTTAGCCAATTTGAAAGCCTCCGAGTGGCTTCCAGCTTAAGTTGCCGTAATTTTAGATGTTGATCGATTAGTTTTAGAAACAATAAATGTGATAATTTGCTTTAAAATTTAGCATCTAAAATGCCTTCAAATGCGCGCTTAAAGTATGGAGAAAATTGTTTTTAGTCACGATCAACTGTTTGTTATTTGTTGGGAATTTTATAAATAAACAGAAAATAAAGAGGTGATTGAATTAGTATGCAAATTAATTTGTTTCTGCTGGTTTAATGTCTTTCAGATAAGGTTTATGTGCACTTGGTGGCCGTGAAAATCACCTGGTTTAACCTTAACAGACTTTTAGTTAAGAGGATTAATGTATAAAGCAAGTCAAGATTTTGTGAATTTTGGGTGAAAATATAACAGCCAGCAGCAGTATGCAACATAAACACACTTCAATAAAGGTAAACAAGTGATGAGTGGCTTGCACCTTCATAGTTGTGACGCCCGAAGCAAACACAACTTATTTCAGAAACGAGTACCTAAATTGTTCAATTAAAAGACAAGGAAAAGCGTAACAATTCCTCCTAAGGTGACCTAACAATTCGAAAAATTCACTAGATTCAACTGAGCCAGAGCAAGAGGAACATCGCTTAACCACTGGCAAAAATTCTGTTATAAATAAACTCAAAAATAAATAATTACCGAGTTATAGCAATGACCATGAGACGGAAAAAAGACGCGATTTACTCGTATAACAGGTCCGGTTAAATAGTACCAGCAACCATCTAAATCTTTTTTTAGCACTGGGAGTGCTAACGTTTAAAACAAATAATTTATTAGGGAGATGTTGTAAGGCGCAAATTGACTCCATATTAACTCACCAGGACCCACTTTGTCAATTGCAATTAATGTTGTGCTTATAAGTATTAAGTTGATTAAGTATATAAGTAAAAATCCAATAAAATACGGGTATTTAAAAATCGTCTTCTAGAGTAAGTCAAAATAACATGTTTTCCTGTGCAGGTAGGAGTAGTTTTCCTTCTTCTGTCAAGTAATTTGAATGTTACCTCGATTAATTCACTCAAATTGCAAGGTGAGAGCAAACAGCATTCTCAGACAACCGAACTGGATGATAAGATTCAAAACGTAAAAGACCTATTCGTCCCGAAATGAGTTTAGTATAAATGTGATCACGGAGTTAATATGCGTCTCAGTACCAAATACACTCACTAAACTACAATTTTCGATAAATTTAATAAAAAAAACTATGAATTGTTTCTGCTGGTTAATGACCGTGCTGGTGTTATTCCAATGGACAAACCGTGAAGTCAGTTGTGTGAGGAAAGCCAGAAAACGTAAGTAATTCGTAGTAAAATAAAAGTAGTACCAGGAACTGGAATAAAATAGTGCATTCAACAGCAAAACACCGCACAAAACAATTAATTTATAATTATAAAGTGAACTTTTGATCGGCGTTATTAACGATATATAATTATAACTACGCAACCTTTAAAAGGACTAATTTGCCACTGATCTGGGTAGCCTGCAGAAGTAAAGTGCAAACCTTCCAAAAACAAGCATGTCGATCCAAACGACCTTATTTTTTTTCGTTTTATTATCGGCAAACTTCGTTCTTAACTCTCACGGGCAAAAATCGAAACGACGTAAGTTAAAATGAATTAAACATACCCATATACTCAGAAAAACAAGTTCCAAATTTTCAGCTTCGTTCTTTCCAACGTGTTTCCGCAATGATCCCAACTTGAACCGTTGCCTAGTGGAAGCCACCGAGATGATCAGGCCTTATTTAGGTGAAAAAATCTGTATTAGTGCTAGTTAAATTTTGAATTTGATCATAATGGAATTTTAGCCAAAGGAATCCCAGAACTGAAGGTGCCTCCTTTCGAACCATTCAACATTCCGGAAATCAAACTAGAACAAGGCACAAGTGCGCTCAATTTTAAGGCTCTTTTGAAAAATGTGATGGCTTATGGACTGACAAATTATACGTTCTCGCAATTTGAGTAAGTAACGATCAGAATTTTAGCAATTTCCAGGCCAAATATTAATAATATTTCGTTTAAATCCGAGGTAGTGGCTCGAGTGCATGTTGGGTAAATAAGAACGTTTCAATAATTTATTTTTTAAACGGCGCGTTTCGGTTAATTGTTGTTATAACCATTATCAGATTTGCAGATATAAATGCCAAGCATCAATCACACAATGTTGATCAACACAACACTTGACCTGAAAAATTATAATAAATATAAATTAAACATGGGGAGCAGCTGTGTGGCTCACATGCAGAAGTGTTGCTTGTCCTTAAAGGCTTTGAACTAAAACTTTGTCCCTAAAAACCTGAAACTACTGAAAAATACTAACTTTTACTTATAATAAAAACTTGTATACTTATAGGTAAATACTATTTTTCTCATGAAGGTATGTAATGAAAGAAGTTTAGAAAAATTCCGATTGAAACACTGCCTAATGTATTTTGCTAATTTTTGAAATTTCAACAACACAATTGGATCAATAATTAAAAAGTTCAGCTTCAAAGAAAGTCGCTTGAAACCCGAGATTTTTTCCAGTAAAAGTCCGCAACACCCACGAATTATATTCAAAGCTGTTTGAAGCATTTTTGGCAAATTACCCAACAAAAATTTGTCAAAAGTATTAATAGTATTTCAAGTAATTCAAAATCGAATTCAACTTTGAACCAACATTGCAAATTTTTTAGAGTATTAAAGACACTAGTTAGGACAGCAATACCTTAGTCGCAGTGGTAACGCCGTTTTTGCGCACTCGAAGAAAAATTTTTAAGTGGAATTTTCACTTCCAGCTTTGATGTCCCGAATTTACAGTTCTTCTGTACAGCTAAAATACACAAAATGAAATTGGCTGGCGACTACACCGTGACTGGAAAGATTTTGGTTGCACCTATTCAAGGCGGAGGAAAATTTACTGCGGGAATTGGTAATTATTTCTTAACAGTGTCCTTTAGCCCTGTTTGTTTAATTCAAGCCGAAATTTAACCGACTTTTGTAGACTCTGTTGACGTTTTTGTTTACCAAAAATACAAAACTTCTACACGAAAAGATGGCAAAGTCCATCTAGTTCCCATTGGCACCAACAGTACCATTTCTGTGCAAGAGCCCAAGCTCAACCTTCAAGGCCTATTTGAAGGAAATGAAGAACTTAGTAAGTTTGTCGATAGGCAAAAAATGATTTTCATCTCATCACTCATCACATACTCATCTTTGTGTATTTTAGCTGCGGCCACCAATAAAGCGATAAACGATAATGCGGATGAGCTCGTTATAGAGCTGAAGCCAGTGTTGGAGGACTTAATAAGCAAAATCTTGGAGGATCTTTTATTCAAGACAATCAGTAATAATATACCTTGGGACGACTTGTATCCAATCAACCCAAAGTTTAGTTAATTTCGGTTGAATGAAATAAAGAACAATTTGTACCTAAAAGCCTAAAATTAACAGCCTTAAAGTCTTAGCCTAATATTCCATTTAAGTGCAGTAGCAAGAAAAGCATGAGCTTTCAGGTGGTAGGTATTTATTTAGGAAACAGTTCCTCTATCGAGAACCTGGAAAACACTCGACCAATAAATTCCAGCACGGTTTTTCCAATGGTGTCTTCCAAAGTGGGCCGCAAATCGTCCAGCAGTGCCTTCATATTAATGTTGATTATTTTGTTCGTTTGCTCAGTCAGCTCTGGGTTGTTTTTGAACAGATCGTAAAATTTGAATTCTGGCTTTCCAAATTCGATATCGTCAACAACAGTTTCGGTTAGTTTCAGATACTGCTTGTCCTGCTGATAAACTCGCATGCCATTCATCGTTGCGATCACTCTACAGTCCGCTGAAGCAAAAATGTGCTTTTAAATGTTTATGAGAAAAATCCGACGTTACTTACTGATATTGCCATCGGCTGGTCCTGAGCCATCCAGGTTGAAAAATAGCACTTTTCCAAAAATGGAATACTGCGCCTTTATTCTGATATGGGGAAAAGTTAGGTCGAATTTGATTTTATTCTCTGCTAGATTCACGTCGAATTTCTTGATAATAAATTTGTCCGCGTCGTAGATTTCAACATTCTGCAATAAATTCGTCAGCAAATCATCCATAAATGGGAAAATATAACAGCCACCTCAAATTTAGCGATAAAGCCTGCCCCAGCATCGATTCCCACTTCAGGTAAAGTGAGCGGATTCATTTTCGGTAATCTGAACTCAGGAATACCATCCTGCAAGTGCGGTTTGATAATTTGCACTGCTTTTAACAGGCATTTTTCGAAATCCTGATCGCTTTGATGGCATTTTTGAATATAAGTAGCTAAAATTGAAAATCCGATATGTACAACCAAGGATGGATAATTTCAACTTTCGTGTTAATACAGCATTAGTTACCACCAATCGTTAAAGTTAATGAAATTGCTCCCAAATTGCAAAATGGGCATAAAACACTGCCATGAATAAAAAAGAAAAATAACAATAATAAAGTTCTATTTTTAAACAATATGATTGACAAAATACATAACAAGGCATGTAGACAGGATCGAGTAAAAATAATTGTTATAGTTCCTCTAGACGATTTACATAAATTGTCCAGTCCATTTCGGAAAATGTAATTTGCGTGCTGCTTAATTTAATCACCATTGGGTAATTCTCGGTCCCAGCTTAAGGTAAAAAATCGATTGAGCAACGGATTTATGGTGTCAATAGTAATGAATTTTTTTAATGGTTCAATATCATCGGGTACGTTTGTTGAATTTTGATTGAGTTCCATTTTGCACGGCTGGTGGTATTGATGATGATAAAATGCTGCATTCTTATTTATTGGGACGCTATAATTAACATCGTTAACTATTGGCCTATCAACATTTGAACGCTGGAAAACTGAGTATTTTTTTCACGAATTCCAAGCTTCCTGTTGCTGAATTGGTGTACAAAATAATTTATTTCTTTTTTTTTAGACAGAGTTTTAATAAAGAAAAGTTGTTCAAGGCATGTTATATAAATCACCGAAGTCATCGAGGTTCCAAAAATGTGATATAAATTGAAAACACCGATAATAAATTGTACCATATGAATTTTTCGATATTTTTTTAAATAATAATTTAAAGTATTTCTTTATAGACAATTATTAGAGACAATAACAAATATGAAAAGGGTGAAGGCTTTCGAGGTCATGGTTTGATGCTGGTGAGTTTTTCTTGCAAAGGCACACCTAAAAGGGTCGAAAATATCTTCTGCGGCGACCCAAAAGCCCACAAATTTCGCCAATTTCAGACAATAAAGAATATAACAGGAAATAGGAAGTCAATATTGTTCAAAACAAACATTCTATAGGCAAACATTCCACTCAAATTAATAGTTCTTACAAAAGCTGTAAAATGCCTACTCAAATACCATAAAACCAAAGTGTGAAACAATAAAGAGCTCAAGTAAAATAACACAATTTTGAACTGTTTAAATAAATGCTAAACTAAAAAATTAATATAAAATCGATTGATCAAACGGAGAGTTCTCAATGTTTCGAACTGTAAACTGAACCTTTAACATACTTATAAGTAAATAATTTAAAGCGCAAATTTCAAAGTAAAAGCAAACAGGAACAAAAAATTTGTTTTGTGAAAAGTGTTAATAGAAATTTTCCCCAAAATACTAACTTGTTTGAAACAAAAATGGGATAGTTTTTTGGGGCAAACATTCCACTCGAATTATTTGTTTCTGGAAAAACTGTAAAACCGGCTACTCAAGTACCATAGAACTACGGTGTGAAAATAAATAATTCAAGTAAAAAAATATAGTTGCCAAAAGTTTTAATAAATGCAATTAAAAATTATTATAAAATTGATTGCGTCAACGAAGAATTCTCAACTCCTACTCTAAACTGAACATTTAACACAGTTTTATGCAAATAAAGTGTGAAAGAAAAATTTTTTTGTCAAAAATTCTGATACTTACGAAACTTCTTCACCCTGGCTGATTGACACAAAACTGCTAAAAGCGTGATTAAAAACGCCGATTTAATACAACGTTTAACCGCCATTTGAAACAATATTTTAATTTTTCTTCGATTTTTTATGTTTTATTAATTAGTAAGTCTTTACACTTTGAAGAGTTGACACTAATTGCAGGCTCTTGAAAAGTGCCCACCTAAAAATTAACACATTATTCTGTATATAGGTGAAACAAGGTAAAGCGTTATATAGTAAAGTTTTTGCATGACGTAAATAATTTGCGGGCGAAATAATACAAGCATAAATAAACCGTCAAAATGATAAAACTATTATTATTAAGTAGAATTGATTACCATCGTCAACCCAAATTAAACTGCAAAAAATGTTTTAATTTCAAAGGTTTTCGCCGTGGAAAGTGCAACGTTTTTTATAGGAACTAATTAAAATATTTCAAAATATAATTTAGGTGCATGGATTAAAAATTAGACATTTGCCATACTAATTGTGCAAAAGCGCACATTTTGGGAAAAATATTGGCGGAATTTAACGTGATATTACGGATTTATGCAAAAACTGGTGCGCTATTATTACATCCATTCTTCGTACTACAAATGCAATAACAATTTTAGTATTCATAGCTCATATGTATGTACGACTTGTTACATTAAATAAGTTGGGCTTTTTACGGTACTAACGAGAAAATGTTGAGCAAGTAAAGGTTTTAATATAGTTTCTGGAAAAAAGTCAATAATTATTGTCTAAGGGTTTGGACTTTGTGGTGGGAATTGATAGAAATTCAGGCGATTTTTCTAGATTTTGATAAATCGACAGTTGAATTCTTCAAATTAAGTGGATGAGTTCAAATATTTTGAATGTTTTTATCTAATTGCAATAAAAATTTAAAAAAATATATGGCAGAAACCTCATTGGAATGCATTGCTTTTCTGTCTGGAATACCTATAAAATGTTATATAGTAGTTTAAATTGTGTAAATAAAAAACGGTGCGTTTTATTAAAAAAGGACAAAATGGCTTTTATGTTAGCAACTAAATGTAGATAGAATTAGAAAATAATTTTTGTGCCCAAAGAAACCATTGCAATGCACCGTTTCTTTGCCTAAATGAACAATAAATTTTGGTTTGCAGGTCTGGAAACTATCAAATGTTAAATGTATGTATGTTTTCATGTTTTTAATCAGAAACTGTACATTTCAGCAAAAAAACTCAAACTGACTTTTTTTGTTAACAACTAAATGCAGAATTGGAAAATAATTTTTGAGTGCCAAAAAACCAATGGTGTGCATCGTTTAGGTCTGGAAACTATCAAATGTTGAATTTAGCGTTGATTTTTTCGCCAATCCAACGGTTTTAATTTTTTTAATTCGAAACCGTGCTTTATGTCGAAAACTCCCAGAAGGGTGTTTTTATGCCAACTGGATGTAGAAATACAAACTACGTTACAAAATTACAAATAATTACGTTACAAAATTAATTTTTATTTGGTCGAAATGTATAGGCGCGACATGGTTTTCAAACAATATTTGGCAGTTGTGATCAGATGCTAGGTGGCATTCGAGTATTAATATTGGAAAAATTGTTCTTCTTCTCTTCTTAACACGCCTTTCAAGTAGCAAATTTTTAAATTTCTTACAGTTTTTTACATTTCTTTCTCGGCAAAATTGAGGCACTTCCAATATCAAAAGGAAGGAACAACTGATAATTTGTTTCGCACTCCTTTTCGACCTAAAAATTAACGAAAAACTCCAAAAAGTATGCCCCGGGTGAGGATCGAACTCACGACCTTAAGATTATGAGACTTACGCGCTGCCTGCTGCGCCACCGAGGCCCATGTAAGAAATTCTGTTAAATAAGTAAACAAGGGAAATGCTGCATTTAAAAACTTTATCGTTAAATTATCTTTTACATTATTAACAGTGATGCTAAAACTCACTTCTATCAATTGCGTTGTTTAACTGGGCCCGCTGCCGTAGTATTTGCACAATCTCACAAATAAATTGCTTGTGTAAAAAATAAAGATAATCCAAAATATTTAGTTTTTTTTTTCATATACTTCTGCAAAAAACACCCCAAAAACCGAAAGAAATAACTTCATTCACTATTGTGATAATCGAATATTTCAAACCCATTAATAAATTGCTGTTTTTATTTTTTTTATTTGAATAAAATATTAAACTCCCTTCCATTTTTGCATAAAGAAGTACAAATAATTCACTCTTTTAAAGTGCATTATTTGCCAACAATTTTCGGGAACAAAATGACAGAAAAACATTTAATGAAAACATATTTATTTGTAAAAAGTACCACACAGTTGATTTAAAATAAACTTTCTCTCAATGAGTACAACTGCTGACGCATGTGCTTCTAGAAAAATAGTCTTATCTAGAGGATAACTGCCGCATAACAATAAATTGAAACAAATACATTAAAAAATAACCTACTTTAGGTACAGAGAGCGATTTGGCCCAATACTGTAATTGATCCTTTCATTGTTTTGGCGAAATCTTCATTCACATAGAAAAGATCAAATCATTATTTTGAGAGCTTCAGTGGCCGACTAAAGTACAAAAATAAATTATCGAAGCTCTTGGTCAAAGCTTGATACATCTGAGAAAAATAGCTACGAGGTCTGTTTGGCCAAAGGCACATAAAAAACATCTAGAGGTACGTGAGCCAGCAACTTATTGGAGATATTCATAAAAAGCCCAGCCAGCTTTTTTCTCAGTTGAGGCAACATTACTTTGAACACTTCCTGTCCATTTTCTCGCAGGAACAAATTAATGGCTTCAGCTAAAAAAGAACAGCAAATTAAATTGCAATCTAAACTGACTCAAATTGTGGCCATGACTTACTCAATATGCGGTTGTTCTTGAAGATGTTTTTCACCATCATTCGCATTTTCTTCACGGTGAGATCGACATGTAAAGCATCAACGTGCAAATATCTTTCGCCACTGGTCTCATTGACACTCACTTTTCCTTTTAGCATACAGTCGAGATCATCTAGAAAATGAAATGTTTTCAAAGATACTATAGACAAGTTTAGAGAACAAACGCAACGGAAAAGAGACAAACGAACATGAAAATTACGGAATAAAGCGCGCACTAAGACTAATTACAAAAACAGGATTTCTCTGAAAGCTCCTGCACAAATCTTCAAAAAAAAAATTAAACAGACTGATGCAGTTTCAGATAAACTTGAAAAATAATTCCCAGAAATGAAGCAATAAAGCCACAATCTCTCAAAAGAGGAACGAGACAATCCTGTTTCGGACGCACGTCGATCTCCCTAATTGAGCCAATCCAAAGCATATAAATTACAATTAAGTAATTAAGAGTGTTACTATATTTAGGGGTGAATCCAGGGGAAATAGAAATTCACGAAATCCGCGCAGTTTTGACCCAGAAAGCGAAATTTGAATATCAGACATTATGGTGCAAGATTATGCCGACATTTCATGTTTTTCCCTCCCGTTTTTGCTCATTACTCGGAAGCAAAATGAGTAAGAACGCTTATTTTTACATCATTCCAGAGAGAACTAAATGACCTTTTTAGAAAGTGGACGATGGATAAGCAAATGTTGCCAGTTTTCTCAAAAAAGTCTTGATTTCAAGAAGTTTTAGATCTGCGTGTTTTTTGTTGAGTTGCAAAATCGACTCAAACATGACGCTGCGTTTTCGCAAGTTTCGCAGCCCCAATTTGAGCCACAGAATTTCTTTTGGTATCGTTGGAAAGATAATTAAAAATGCGATTCAGTAATGACATTATGAGTCAGGAAATTCGAGTAGTTTTGACCCAGAAAGCGAAATTTGAGTATCAGACACTTAGGTGCAAGATTATTCCAAAATTTCATGTTTTCCGTCCCGTTTTTGCTTATTTCTCGGAAGCAAGATGAGTAAAAAAGCTAATTTTTACATTATTCCACAGAGAACTAAATGGCTTTTTTAGAAAGTAAACCATCGAGAAAGAAATGTTGGCAGCATGCGAGTAGTTTTGAGCATAAAGCGAAATTTGAATATCATACATTGAGCAGCGGCGGGATCTGCCCTTGCCTATATGGTAAATAGCACAAGCAGAAATAACAATTCAACGATGGTTGTTTTTATGTTCTCATGTGCATACCAAATTGTCCGAAAAACGTTCCATTTCCACTAGCAGGTAAAATGATCAATACTCCACTGCTTTGGTAGCGGGCGTTTATTTTTAGGGATGGAATGTTGATTTGTGCCTCAAACGGCTTTCCATTTTCGGATAATCTAGAAAAAATGAAAATATACAGCTTTATACCTCCAAGCAAAATAAATCTAAAAAAATGAGAGTTATACAAAACTTTTTGCAAATGGTAGACGGTTCAACACAATTTTTATCTACAGAGATCTTATTCGAGAGTTTATTCAACTTTTGGTGGCATATTGAGTGTTAAGTAGGCCACATTTTAAAACTAGTTGCCACTATACAACTGGTCAAAAAAACTATAAATAAAAATTGTGTATTTTTTTAACGGAAGTCCCTATGATCAACTTTTGCGAAGAAAGGAAAAGTATATTTGATTAAAAAATAATTTAGATATTATAAACGTTTTTGATATAACTCGACTTTTTTCATTTCTTCAGTAATTGTTATTTATCAGAAAATAGTTCTTTTTGCAAAGTTTCTAGTAATGTAAGCTTATTTCTCTATTTTTTAATCGCAAATCCGCAATTATCCGGAAAACGGTGTATGTTAAAGGTCGTATGCCGACAATAATACTTTTTTCAAAATCATAAAATTGTACACAAAATACAGAATGTTGATATGTTATTCTTGTTTGGGACTTAAAACTAATTTTAAAATTAGGCGAGCCACCTTGTGCGCTTGTAATTAATTAAACATCCATACGAGTAGAAAGTAATAAATATTTTTTTAATTAAAAGGTAATTATACAATTAACAATTTACCAAATTAAACTCGTTTTTTTCTACACCGTATCCGGTTACTTAAATGACTTAATTACTTACCAATTATTGTACTAGCTATTTCCAAAGGTGCTACTTACTTCAATTTCGACATGGAAAAATTGCTGGCTCCATAAATCATCATTTCTTTCAAAGAAATGGTGTATCCATTAGGACCTCCTGTTAACGACAACGACAATTCATCCATAAGGAAAGGTTCCACTGAGGGAAGTTCGATTTCTTTGATTCCATTGGCCAGATAGGGCTGCAAGTGGTGAAGAGCGGATATGAAACAGTCGATCATTTTCGGATCGCCTTCGTAGCATTGTTTAACGTATGGTGCTGAAAAAAAAAATTAAACAGGATTTTACATTGATCTTGTCTTTTTTCTGTAAGTAAAAGAAATTGAATTTTGAAAGACTTGGAACACATTGTCTGTTATTTTTTGCTGAAGCTTTGCTTGTATGCAGCAGGCACGTTGGAATGTGTTTTTTTGCAATTTTACGCAGCCTTTTTTCAGCAGGACAATGAATGTTTCCATGTCGTCATCGCCAACGATACGCTCAATTTAAAGCCCCCTGGTATATCGTGTTTACGCATAGATGAAATTACAGTAAAAGACTTTCACTCTCAATTTTTTCTCTCTGAATTGCAGCGATTATTAAATCATTTGGAAAGTTTTGTTTGGAAAAGTCTAATGACTCGTCGGTTGATACTCGATGATTTAACGTCGGTTCATTAATGCACTCTCTTAAATGTTAGATTATTATAATCTTCATTCAACTGTTCGAGAAGTTTTTTGCTATTTTGGCAACAAATTGATTTTTCTTCAAGATTTTCCCAAAAAACCAAATGCAACGTTGCTCTTGAAGCTGTTCATAACAGTGTTAACTAAGATTATTACCAATTGTCAACGAAGGTCAATGTTAATGAAAAGAACAAATTAATCAATTAATTGAGTGTTAAACCTCCCGCAATTAAACTAATCAATTGTGACCAATCAAGGGCAATTATTGTGGATATTGATTGATGCATTATTGACACCTGCATTTAATCTGCAATTTACTAGCCACTATCCAAACATGTTTTTCCTGTCGCTATACAGGGGGTAACAAATCGAAATTTTTGCTTTATTTTGTGCCATTTTTGAGCGGTCACAATGTTTAAAAAACGATATTTTCACCACCTCGTTCTACATATTAGGGAACTTCCTAGGCCGCAAACAACCCAACACACATGTAAAATTTTGAGTTTTAGTTAAAATTTTTGAAAGGGCGAGGGCGGATTATTAAAAGAAATAAAGTTTTCCAAAATATCTCGACTTTTAGATCATTTTCCTCTCGAGTGACCGAGGAAGGCAGCAAAATGAAATGATTGAAAAACAATTTTAAATCAATGAAAAACACGCTGGAAGCTTCGGGCTCAAAATAATCCGGCACTTTTGGTTAGTTTGGAGTGATTTTTGAACGGTCAGGATCTTTAATCAACGATATTTTCCTTACTATAGACTTCACCGCCTCGTAACTGCATGTTAGGAAACTTCTCAGGCCGCAAACAATCCAGTGCGATGAAAAAACACACATGAAAAATTTTGAATTTTGATCGAACTTTTTCTAAGCGCAAAGGTGGATTTTATTGAAACATATAAAGTTTCTCAAAATCTCTCGACTTTGAGATCCATTTCCTCTCGAGGGCCCGAGGAATGCAACAAACTCATTGAAAAACACGCTGGAAGCGAACTTTAACCAACAATATTTTTCTTATTAAAGACTCGACCGCCTTATACACCGCCTGCATGCTATCAGTATCTAATCTACTCGGTCTTCGAACAAAGTACTTTACTGATAAGAGCCATTTAAGACTATATACGCTAATTGTTAAAGCTCATTGTACTGTATCTAACAAAAAATGTCAAATCTCTCCCTAGAAAAATTTGTGGGCAAAGTGGCCGTAGTAACAGGCGCATCTTCAGGCATTGGAAAATCCATCGCAGAAAGTCTGGTAAGGAATGGCCTAATTGTAGCCGGTGTAGCACGAAGATTGGATCGCCTACAGAAGCTTTCAAAGGATCTTTCTGAGGAAAAAGGTAAATTGTATGCGTTTCAATGCGATTTGACCAAACCCGATGAGATCGTGTCGCTCTTTGAAAATATTGCCGACAAACTGGGAGCGATTCATGTGCTGATTAACAACGCCGGAGTGCGATATGCAACCTCTCTAATTGATGGAGACTTTGAGAAATGGAAAGAAGTCATGGATACGAACGTTTTGGCAGTGGCAGCATGTGCAAGAGAGGCGATCAGCAGCATGAAGCAGAACAACATTCGAGGGCATGTGATTAACATTAATTCCTCAACCGGACATTTCATTCCTCAAGGTCCTGACTTTGCGCTTTATCCTGCCTCCAAGCATGCGGTTACGGCTTTAACGGAAACCCTCCGGCTGGAAGTCAACAGGCACAAATTGCCCATTAAAATAACCAGTCTTAGTCCAGGCTTTACGAAAACTGAAATCCCCATAGTGGCTTATGGGAAAGAAGCCGGGGAGGCTTTTTTGGAAAACCACACTGGCTTGAATCCTGAAGATGTGGCTGAAGCCGCTTTGTACATTCTAGCTACTCCCGACCACGTCAATGTTAAGGAGTTGACTCTGTACGTTCAGTGGGGGATAAGCAAGAAGTAAATCTTGCCACTTCTGCACTTTGCAACACACTGTATAATGGAAGTATGCCATCTCAATAAATCAATCTATAAGAAGCGTTTGGTGTTTTAGTTAATGCGTCCTCGTCAATGCCAATAAACGCGTTGTTTTGCAAACATTTTGCGTTACCAAATACTCCACTCACACATTGGTTAAAGCAAAGCGGCATTTAGCTATCAATTAATATCGATTTTAATAACTGAAAGTGTCCGAATAGCCAAAGGTTGTGTTTTGCAAGCTGTGGAGTAGGTCAATGAGATATAACGAAAAATCCCAGCCAAGAGTTTGCATTAGATTCCGTTAGGTTGATTTCGTACATTTTTTATTATTGACTTGCATTTTAAAGTATATTTTGCTTGCAAATGTGCGAAAAAGTACAATGCAACTACCGAATTCTTTAAATAAAATAGACATTTTAGGCCTAAGTCTGAAAAGTTGAGCAGTCTGATCGACTGACCGCAAAAGCCCAACTTTTTTGATAATGTATATATTTTCTCAATGCGTGAATAACGACATTTATTCTTATGCCAGACTTGTCGACCACACTGTGTGCAAGTAAAAAATAAAAATAGAAAAACAAAAATTTTTAAATTTTTGTTAAATATTAATATAAATTAATATTTAAATTCAAAATAAGCAATGTGATGCTGTTGCTATTTTCAATAAAGTTTTTTTACTCTCAAAACTGCTTAAAAAACGAATTAATACCAATACAAAGTGAACAATGTTGATGAAAATGCTCGAGTTTATTTGCCCTTAAAATTAATCAAAAATCGTAATAAATAGATAGCTACTAAAATCCTTAATAGAAATAGTGTTAACAGTGCAGAACGCAGACCTTGAAATAAAGATTACACGTTCAAGAGCATGAAAAATGGCAATTAAAAATAATGTTTTAGTTCTTTCATTCCTTTATCCATTACTTCAATATATTGATTTATTGATTTTCCATTGGCAAAAGGTTTCGGTTTTTTAAACACGAAACCGCTAAACTGGTTTTATTTATTTCCACACAGAATCTTAGTGGTTTTTATCAAAAATGTCAAGCAAATATTGAATAAAATCCATATTTTGCAACTTCACCTCGGCCAGCTCTCCAGCCTTGAGGGCATAATCTCCTCAAATAATGTCACTGAAAACAATATGTTGATGCTTAACTAATTTCTGTATATTTATATGAAGGTGCATAATTAAGCTGAGAAATCCCTGGCCTTCTTGGGAAAATTTGCGTGTTTTAATGTGTGAATATTGACTGACGGTAAACTAAAGTAAATATATTTTTTACTAATTAGTCGCAACTTACATAACGCAAATGCATATAAAATAATCCGGGACAAAATGTATAAAATTAAAAACAAAGCCGGTATGCAAATACAATAATCATTATTGATTCAAACATAACACTAATGGGCAAATAAAGGATTGTGTGAGGCAGTCGTGCGAAAGTGGCTTATCAGCACTTTGCAAGTAATGGAGAGGGATTAATGGATTAAATGTAGATTATCATCATGGGAAAACTTTAAGTGCGAAAGTGCGCCGATAGACTGGAAAAAATTATAAAAACCTACTTAGTACGGCAAGAAATGGACTTTGAAACGTCGCAATTGTTCTTAATGTTTTAGGTATTTCATCATAAAAGTGACTAATTGAATATTCAAAACGCAAATATAAAAAATAAACACAAAGGCAAAATATACACATTTCGTTTTTGTACTTTATTTGCTTCAATTTTTGACTTTTTTTAATTTTCTTATTACTAGATTTGGAACCTTATTTAATTGAACACTCTTAAATCAATCGTAGAAATAAGTGAGCGCATATTAGAAAAACTTACGCGGATTGTCTGCACTAATCGTCTGTTCGCCATTCACCGTCCAAAATCCAACACAAAATACAATGAGATAAATCATCATTAACAAAATTTCCCGACAAGAAAAAACAAAAAAAAATCAGGAAACTTTGCTATTGCCACCTACACTACTCCGCATGCAGTATCTTTGCAAAATGAAAACGAGAGTTTGGTCACAGATTGTTGGATGGTGCTCAAGAACTGACGTCGATGAAGACTTTCTCTAAGCCACGGTTTTGAGATAGGTTATGCACCTTTGAATGCTTGCGTGCAAATAGACGCCGATTTTCATTTAAAAACTATATTAGATGTTATTAATCGACAAAATGTTCATTTTGCAATCACCTTAAGGCTGGTCTGCTTGCAGCAGAAACTTTTTCAATTAATTCTTCTGCGTTTTTTAAATTATTATTGATGCTTTGAGGAATGTCTCCGATTTTCCATAATTTGTTCAGCTAACTTACGTTTCTGGATTTCTGGTTATTTTAAGACAAATTGATATTTTTTGAGGGTTTAGAAACTTGGTGGCTACAAAGCAGATTATTTACGGGCGGTTTTAACAAATTTTGTTAAAAATTCGAATAGACCAAGTTTGGAAACGCGTATATTCAAAGATTAAATCAAAACCGCCTTAAATCTTACATAAGTGAAAACTTCATGGCACTGCAAACACGCGTAAAGGACCCCCATTTTAAGCGAATGGCAATTACTGGCTTATAACTTTAGCTTAATTGCAACCTTAATTTTTGCTTTTTTTAATAGTTTAGCAACCGCTTGGTTCCTCTCACGTGCAGCGTAAGAACTGCAAATGAATTCGGAGTCACGATTTTCAAGGCAGGAAAATGAAAAATATAATAAACAGTTTTAAAAGAACATTTCTGAACAGAGAAAAACACAATAGTCACAATATGGAAGGCGACGCTTGATTCAACCGAGGAAATTACCTGCAAATGTCTACACTGGAAAAACTAGTATTGTTTCCTGTCCAATTAGAGATTAACATCGTTTTTTGTTCCATCCTATTAAACTTTTTAATGCAATAAATAAAATAAATGAAAATACATTCTGAGCCAAACTTCCTGTTTCATACTGACAAATCCGTCCAATATGAGTATTTTGCCTCAAACTTGAGAAACCGTTGGCACACGCAAACAAACTCCTAAATTTTTAAGCAAAATTTGCAAACTAATTTTGCTTTTCTGGTATATGTTGAAATTGCAAAACTTCCAGAAATTAATTTTATTTAACTCGGAGTTGCAGGATTACATTTTATGAAAAACACGTCGAGTTCTTAATCAACTGGCGAATGCCCTGGTGTTTTTATTAATAAGTAAATAGAATGTAGAAAGAAAGGAAGCATACGAGCTTTTCACCCAGAGCTCTTAATCAGCGTTATTCTTAATTTTTCTTCAAAACCCTTCAAATTGTGTATAAACCGAACTAAGTCAAGAACTAGTGAACGATGTAAAATATGAAATAATAATACAAATATGGAAAATCCTTGAAATTGTATATTAGAAATCTTTTTTCCGTTAAAATCGTGTAAAAACATTTTTATAAGGAAAACTTGAATTTATGACGCCAAATTTTATATTAACATTGAAATTTCTTAATCCGGCAATAACCACATAAGAGGACCAATTTTACTTGAGAGATTGTATAATGGTCAGTTTTGAGTGGGGTGAAAGTCGCGTGTTGGCCGCGTTTTATGGTAGAAGAACTTGCTATTTTACTTAGGCGTTGATGGGTATACAAGGCAAAAACAGCTTTAATTTTAAACAAAAATACTCTTGAAATAACAACAATAATTGTATTAATTATTAGAAATAACCACAAATTAATCTTGTAAAACTATGAATAACTGACAAATCCAATAGTCGGGAAATTTGAAAAATGTGGAAGTTGATGGTGTTACTTTACGGAGTCCTGGACTTACTTACGGAAACAGCTAACGGCCAAGTGAATTTAGGTAAGTAAATCCGCAAAAATTCAAGTCTTTACTAGTTCGTAAAATGCTTTTAAATAATTATAAATTAAAATAAACGGTGCAAGTTAGTTGTAAGTTGATGTCAATGAATCAGTTGTTCAAATTTTGAAAAATCCAGATGCATAAATCGTAAACTAGGAGAAATCGCAAGAATTTTCCAAATCTTCGTCGATGGAAACCAGGTCAGTATACATATGTACACACTGTTGTATAACTGCTGCTAAACAAGTACATTAGGTAGCTTAGGTATAGTTTGAAGATGAAGAACAGGTATGAACACATCACTACTTTTGTCTTCAGATAAATATTTATTTAGCACCATCATGTTAACTTGCGGTTTTTAAATATCAAGGTAAAAACATATTTGCCGATTGGATTTGCTAATAATCCGGAAGTTCTGGAATATTTGTTTATTGAACACGTTTACATGATGCGGCTTATAATGATAATATTAATAATAATAATTAAAGATGTTCGATGAACAACCATGCTAGTTGATAGACCAAGTAGGTGAAACCGTCGATGCGCGTCCAAGAAATGAGGAAAAGCCGAACACCAAAAATAAATCAATTCAACTAAACTGCATAATTGGCATGTTACCTAATATTAGAAATGTAGATATTGCTAATTATTCATGTACAGCGCATTGTTCTTGCAAAGTGAAATGCATTCAGATAACGTTAACTTGAGTGGTAGGCAGAAAAAGGAACAAAGTACATGAATGGCAAGAAGGAATTGATAATATTTCCTAACGGGAAAGTAAAAATAGGTGCAGTTAATAAGAGAAGTTGAATATGAGTATGGCAAAATAAAGGTTTTTTCAAACCGCTGGTTTTTGGATATTTGGTCGAGTTTTAGAGCGGAAGCGCACAATTTGACTTCAATAGAATAGAATAGAATTCAGCAGACCTTTTCATAAATTAAATTTTAGTCGAATAGAAGAAATTCTCAATATAAATATGAATAAAAAAATGTTTTAGAGCGTCATTTCTCAAGATGCAAAGTAGACAATGCAGGGTTTGATGACTGTGTGAAGGAGGGACTGAACGAATTAACTCCCTATTTCGAATCTGGTAAGTACATTTTCACATTTTTCACACTCTAAACAGCTATTTTGCAAATATTTGTCTTTTTTACCTTTTGCCAAATTTAACAACAAAAAACTAATAAGTATGTTGAGTCTGGTGCCAAAGTATAAGAGTTAAACTTAACTATTTTACTGCTAACACGTTTCTATTTCGAGGCGCCATCGTCAACTTTTCCATGCCAGCCATGATCCATTTTCGCGAATTTGCAAGTTTCTTTTAATGAAAGTGTAGCCTTGTGTTCCGTTTTATGTTATTTTGTTTGYATTTTTTAAAACCAARAAGTCTAAAAATGGTAGATTTTGATTGTTCTAGTCAATAAAGGTATCAACAATATCCCGGTAAAACACAATAATTATTTTCTTAAGAAATCAAAAAGCAAACACCAAATAACAGAAATTATTGAAAAAGCAATTAAATGAGTCAGTCGCAAATCTGTACTTTATTGAAAARTGATGAACTTYCAAACAAAGCCMCTAAMAAATCTAAAAGTTGATAAAGWAACGTAAAGTGCGRAACCTCGGCTATTAATTTGGTCCATTATATGTTGAAAAWCGCTCGAAGGCAGGTGAATAATTTGAATTTCGGAAACTTTTAGGATTAYTATTATTTCCGGATTTTTGGCAATTTTTCAAWGTCYAAGTTTRGCTAGAATGGCCTCAGTRGCAGTGATTACGTCGGATAAGTTTTTTTAAATATCTGTTCAAAAAAAGGACTTTCTAAAAGACTGCCTAGAGTGCATTTAAAAGACAAGTCTTCACTCTATCAGGATTGAGATTGATGCCGGTTTTTTGCTAAAATCCCGTACTTGTTTGCAATTTGTCAAAGTTTGACTAGATGGCCTCAGTACGACTGATTCCACAGTTTTAGTTTGAATGAAAAAATTCTCATTTCAAATGAAAACTAGCTGAAAGGCTGCATTACAGCCCATTTCAAAGATAAAGTATCACTCTATCAGGGTTGCAAGAGTCGATTTTTTCTTGATATTGCCGAGTTTTTGGCCATTTTTCAAAATCAAAGTGGGGCTAGATTGGTCACTAGCACTGATTCCGTAGGTTAAGCGTCGAAGAAAAATTAATTATTTAAAATCCAAACTAGATAAAAAGCTGCCTTGCAGCGCATTTTAAAGATGAATCTTTACTCTGTCAGCTTTGCAAGTGCCGATTTTCTACTGATTCCCTGATTTCAACCTGATTTTGATTAAAACCAAATAATTCCTTTTTAGTCTAGCCAATTCTTCGRCTTTCACGCACTTTTTGTTTCACGATTWAAAAAATTGCATTCTCTTTTTCTGATAGATTTATTTATTACAATACAGTTTCCCATTTAATGTTTAARAACACTGASCTACAAGCAGAAAAAACGTCCCAAAAATCACTTTAAAAAATACCTGTTTGCTTTCATATCCTTATAGATGTATAAATTACAAAATCGACAATCATTCATCATCAAGTCAAGACAAAAGACTATTTCGRCTAATTAACGTGATTAAAGTTGCTAGTATTAAATCAATAATGTAAAGTTAGCAGGATTTATTTAATTAATTAACTGAGATTAAGTGGCGCCGTTTAAGCTTCACGTGCCACTGTGAGCATTCATACAAATCCTTCTAATTACCAACATAATTTTAATAAATTTGTGAATTCCAGGACTGCCGGAATACGGGGTCGATCCATTTGATCCATTTTATGCCCAAGAAGTTTATCAAAAAATGAGCGGGCCGTTCTTCAGTTACAAGCTGATTCTTCGGAATGTTTCCGAATCTGGTTGGACACAATCGCAAGTTACAGGATTAAGGTGCGATTTAGATGGTTAAAGTAAAAAAAGGAAATTCACAGGATTTTCTTCAGAGTAATCAGGAGTTTTTTCGCGCTTTTAAGTCGCCTTGAGCGAACGAAACTCCGAAGATGCAAGTCACTCGTGCTTGCAAAACGTCCGAAAGACATTCTTTTTAAAGCTCGAAAAACTCATCAGTTTTAAAATTAAACTGATTTACCCAAAAAAAACTTTTCAATTTCATCATTTTCATCACGTTCGACATTTTCGTTCACCTGATGTAATGTTTTAGGAGTGATTTTCCCAAAGACATGATCCAAATAACGCAATTCTTCCCCGATAAACGGCTGAAAGGCATCTATGAGATCGATGGCACATTTTTCGGGCAAAAAGTGAAGAATTCCGGATCCTGGAATTTGGCGCTGTTCGACTACATCCAGACTTTGAGCATCAGCAGGAAACCACAAAGGGACTTAACAGGAAAAGAAATGGCGCGGCCTCCCATCAAGGTGAAATGCAATATCAAAACTTGTAAGAAGCTGGAATTACATATTGGAAATTTAGCTGGTGGGAGAACTGTATTAGGTAAATGCACTTATTTCGTTCGAAAATCACAAAAACAGTTTAAAACAAGCAATCAAAGTTAGTTCCAGAAAAATTTCAGATTTGGCATTGCGGTTTTCTCTGAACTAAGACTGCCAATGTACACTTAAAAACGGATATTGTGGCTATTATTAAGTCATTAACCATTCAAAGAAAGCTTTGTTTAGCACATCAAACGGCCCGGGATTTTCCTGGGGATTTTCAAAGATTACCCTGCATTACGCACAGTGGTAATTAAACATCGCCACAAGAACGTATTTCCTAGGAACTATTCCACATAAAACGGCCAGAAAATCAATTTAAAAGAGGATGATGATAAAATTAGGATTCCGAAAAATAAACTAGATCTCGTCTAACGTAAATGAAGCATCAAATTCCCTGAATTATTGTCTAGTCAGATCGCTTACTTCATTGTTTCATTTCAAACAATTTTTATTAATTTTCAGAAAATATGTTAGATTGGGTGATCAACAACGCTTGGCAGCCTGGATTCGTCGTATTGGCTCCGCTGATCAACGATTTAGTTGGAACGGCTTTCTCTGAAATTTTCAACAAAGATTTCCAATACTTTCCATTTGAGAGTATTTTCCACCAATAGATCAATCATCATTTCTCTTGGAGTTTTAACTAGTCAAGGATTGTACGAAATTTTATATTTAGTTTTAGAGGTTTTCACTGATTTTTTCCAAGTCTTCTTAATATATTTTTTGTTGGTGTGGATAGGTATGTCAGAATTCAACAGTACTAATTCAATTTTAAAAAACCTGCGGTGCAAATAAACTTGTCCGAGCTTTGGTAGTCATAGAAATGGGTGTAGAACGATGTCCCTATTGGGCGCGATTGTGCGAAGCTCGCAAACAATGTTGACGACTGTAGACTATTTGCACCACTGGTCATGTTAATTTTGTTTTTAGAAACAAGCACACTATAAACATATGTTGAGCCCTAATTGGGACATCCTGTATATATTTACGTAGAACTAAACGAAAATATAGCAATAGCCATTAAATAAGCGGTATTTATTGCAACATGCAGCCCTGCAAACATTTCCCTGATGTGCAATATTTACCACTATAAATCCAAAGTAAATAGAGCAATTAAATAATCGAAATATGTTATTCATAATCGTGAAATTTGAGTCTGAGCGCTTGTGCAAATAGCCTTTGACTGCATTACGGTGTTAGAAAATGTAAGTACACAACAGACGAGTAAACGGTCTATATCAAAATATAAATAATGATTTCCGGTACTCCGATATAACTGCAAAGTTGGCTTTATTAGACGAAAATAAAAGTAGATTTTGTCAATTTTTCCAGTTCTCAAACACTGAACTATCTGAATGAGTTTCTTCACACTGATTTAATGATCTAATCCTAACAATCGACATTACTTATAGCCAAGGCTCCTTTTTGTTATTTTTGGATTTAACACAGGAAACACCGTTTAGTCTCAGGCTATTTTTACATTTTTATTATGTCAAAATTACAAGTGTTGTTGCAGTGCGAGTAAAAGTTTGGCAATAGAAATTTTCAATCAAAGTTCAAAAATAAGCACTCGGATACTTTTACTTTATTCCTAGTTGATTTAACCGACTTAAACAAATAGGCCAGATAGAAAGCAGTTTTGCACTGAAAAGTAGCTTTGGCGGTATTAAGCAGGAACTACCTATCCTTGGTTTTAAACTCGCATAAACACATTCAAACAAGTTTTCGTCGGTTCAGAAATTTACTGTTGGTTCAGTACTGTGCAATTAAAAAAATGTGCAAAAAAACGATTTGAATCAATTTTATTTTGTGGGCCTTTGATGACTTAAAATTAGTTTTGAGCACCAATGGTGAAAATAAACTTCACCCAACAGACTGGGAGTCGTAATTGAATCAGTCTTTCTCTGTTCCATCACTGCTGCTATTAGACAAGACTGGGCACGTGGCTGGCGCCTAAAACAAGCCTGAGCTTGCACCACGTGTCAGTTAATAGTGAATTTAAAACATTGCCATTTATGAAAATCACTATGAGTAGGTGGTACACAATTTAAAAAATTGCATTAAACAACTAGAAAAATTACTATTAAATTACCAAATTCTTTTCAAGAGTAATTTCAAGTTAATAAACATCAATAAGCAATAAAACCCGATATTAACAGGCATTGTTCGTAATAAAACGATGTAAACAATGACCGCAGTTTTCCCACATAACACTTTCACAGTGTGTTTTGAAACTTTTCATAATTTAATGATCTTATAATTTAGTGGAAATGCATTCATACATGCTTACAATGGAAAATTGCCTTTGAAAAAGTGCCCTGAAAAGTCTCAGGACAGAGAATTTCTTCATTGTTTTTGCAACGAGGTGTGGTAAGGCTGAAAACTAGTCGAGGACGATTGATAGAAATCGGACTTAATACGCATAAAGACCAAAGGCCAATTGAGAATTAAATTTGAAATAATTTGTATTAGTTTCAGTATGATGCGTTTCTTCACAGCTTAATAAATTAAGGAGTTAAGGAGTGTTCATGAAGGAAAGGATATTTTCAGGATTTGGCTTAGGAAGTTATTCTCTATTTTAATATGAGGTTTAGACCACATTGCTTTCTATTAAGTCAAGTAAATGCCAGCTCTATACCTACTACCTATTGAAACTCAGAAATTTTTGATAAAGTTGCGACAAACATTTTCCTTATAGGAAATGATACTTAAGAGATTTAAAAATTGCCAAAAATTGACAAAATATGCCCCAAATTTTGGAATTTTCGAGCTAGTAAACAACAAAAAAACATGTTTTCTTCTAACAGAAGTTAATGGCAAATCGCTCTCTGGTCAGGGGCGGATCCGGCTTTAAACTCAGGGGGG